GCTACCACTTAACGTACGCATCCCATAATACCTTGGCCAACGTCACCAGTGTGTCCTACCAGGCTCTAATGAACCCAGAGATGGGATGCTCATGTGACTGCCTCCACTGCATGGGTCTGTCATGATGCAGTTTGTACCTCTCCGAATGGGAGCAGGGAGAAGGGAGGAAGGGAAGGGAAGAAGAAATGAATGAATTCGGGAGCCAGATACAGGTCGGCTGCTACTTACTGGCTGTAGTTAGTACCTTAATGCTTTACCATACTCATCTGAAAAATGGAGTAATAGGATCTACTCCCTGTCTTGTGAGAATTAGAGTTAATGTGCAAAAATAGTTAGAACACATTAAGAATGGTTTTACATTGTTTTCCTAATAAATTTTCTAATAGATGGCACTTTTGCATTTTGCTGTCGAAATTGTAAAAAATCCTAAAACCAGTTTCTTAAGTGCAGAATATAAAGCATAATGCCTGCTGATTATGGAGACACTTATCTCCATAAATATAACAATAACAAATGAGGTTGTGCTTGTTAAATTTTAATGTGTGCTTGTTAAATTTTAAGGACTGCACTGGGCATCTTGTTAAATGCAGATTCTGGTTCCACTGGTCTGGGGCCAGGAACTTCTGCTTTTCTAGCCTGTCCCCGGGTGATGCTGGTGGAGCTGGTTTGTGGACCACACTTTGAGTCCCCAGCCTGCAGGAGGAAGAAAGTAAAAGAATATATTCAAAATGCCACAAGAATAGCCACAGAATCAGCAGTATTATTACTGCTGGGAAGGCATTATAGGTATGCCTTACACTGCATAATAAATGTATTACTCCAGTGTGTTATACATATATTTGCACATATACATATGCATCTATGTAAACTGCATTTGTTTATGTTTTGTTCCTATTTAACTACATTTAGAGAGCATCTTTTTATTGGAAGAAACCCTTACAGTACTTTTAAGAAGAATTAGCTAATGTGTTGATATGATTTATTTATTTATTATTTACAATACAAAAGGAGTATATTCTGGCAGGGGAAAAATCATCTCAGGAACCTATACATTTTTATTTATTTATTATTAAATGTATTGGGGTGGCATTCACAAAATTACATAGGTTTCAGGTGTACGGTTCTATGATACATCATCTGTATATTGCATTGTGTGCCCACCACCCAAAGTCAAATCTGCTGTATATTTAACTTCATTTACCCTTTACTCCACCTCCCCACACCCCTCCCCTCTGGTAACTACAACACCGTTGTCTGTGTCTATGAGTTCTTTTGGTCTTGTTCATTCGTTGCTGTTTTACATCCCACGTTATGAATGAAATCATATGGTTCTTGACTTTTTCTTTCTTACAGTGCTTAGCATGATATCCTCAAGATCCACTCATGTCGTCACAAATGACAGTATTCCATTTTTTATTATGGCTGAGTAGTATTCTATCATAAATATAAACCACATCTTCTTTGTATTCAGTCATCTACTGAAGGATGCTTGGGTTGTTTCCATATCTTTTCCATCATGAATAATAAATTAAAAGTGGAAAGTTCACCACCTCAATCTTCCACTTCTAAGCCCCTGGACTAATAACTATTAAGAATGTGGTGTGATATTTTCAAATATATCTCTATTCTTATATATACATAAATTTTTTTCCAGAAAATGGATTCACTACAGCTCTGTAATGCAACTTCCGTTTTCCTCACGAGTGCTTCACATACTTCCCATGTGAATACATAGAAACTCATCTTTTTCTTCAGTGACTGCATGTTTCCAGTGCACTTAACCTATTTGCATGTTCCCTATTGCTGTGCTTTTGGGTTGTCTTCAAGTATTTGCTATTATGATTAATACTGTGATGAAGCTTCTTATACATGTACCCAATGTAGTCATCTGAACACATCTGTAATACAACTTTTGGAAGTGAAATCATTGTGAAGAATATGCAGCATCTTAATGTTTGAGAATTGTCAAATTGCTTTGCAAAAAGTCTTCTATCACTGATCCATAAGCCAACCACCTATACCCGTATTGTAAAATTCTTTCTTTCTTTGTATTTACTCATGTCTCCAAAATAAACACGTGGTATTTAGGTGAAAAGGGGAAACTATTTCAGTGTAGAAGAATGCAATAAGGTGGCGGATTGAACTTGCACTCAGCATCCATTCCCAACCCTTCCTACGACACCTTCCTCCGCTGCAGAGACTGGAAAGCTAAGCACACATTTCCCACATTCTTCTGCAGGAAAGCTCATGTAAGATCTGAAGTCACAGGTGAAGCAGAAGCCATCTGCCTGTTGCTTTAGCTGTTCTGAGCAGCATGCTGGGCAGAGGAGGTAGAAGTTTTCTGCCTTCACGTGCAGATTCACCAGGTGCTGACAGTAGTGGCAGATTCCTGCAGTCATTTCTGGAGGCTCAAACCTGACCTCACACCTCCACACCTTCCAGTGACTCTGAGGGGAACTAAGTCCTTCCACAATTCCCAACATTAATCCCCACCCTTCTTAAAAATAGCTAGAGTGGCTTCTGCTTATCCACTTTCAAAATAATTTTTGCCACATAAATCTATGTGGCAGAATATGGTGAGGGCATGCAAGACGAATGCACAAAACCATGTGTAAACATATGGGAAAAAGGGTCATTAAATACCCTAAAATGTTAATGCAGTCTTCCCCGGTGGTGGAACTAGGGGTAATTTATATCTTATTTTTGCTTACCCTTCTTTAAAGTTTCTTTTTTTAGGAGGCAAAACCTTAGAAGCCATTTTTCCCCTCAAAGAAAAAAAACAAAATCCTCCTGCAGAAAGTAAAATGTAATTTCCGAATGTATCTTGAACTATATTAGGCAACTAGGAGGATTAACTGTAGGTATTAGCCCCCATGTAACATGGTGATACAGAAGCGTGGGTCGTGGTCTGGATTGGGGAGCAAGCTGCCCTAGTTCATGGCCTGCGAACAAGTATTTGTCTGTGCTACTGCACAGCTGAGCTGAGGCCTCTGCTGGGAAAGGGCAGCTGTCTTGGGAACTAAACATACGAGGTGAGACTAGCCAGTGCCACTCTGTTGGTAAGCTTTCTGTTTATAATACCCACATACAGCCCTGAGATTTGGCAAGCTCTCTTCAAAGGCATAAAACAGAATGGAATGGCCTTCACCTACCCACCCACTAAATGAGAATTTAGAAAATAAATGGCTAAAGTGAAATGAGCAAAGGAGACTTTATTTTAAATACCACCCCCCTTTTTTTTACTTTCCACGTAATGAACATTTTATATACATATATTTCTGGATTGCTCTTTATTCCCCATTTTCTCTACCTAGACAAGGATAATTTCATACTTCTTTATTCACTGGCAGAAATGATCACCAAGGGTCATGACGCATGTGCAATCATCAAAGGAGAAACACATAAAATGAACCACTCTTAAGCTATGGAAATACCCTTCAAGGAATTTTGTGAGAATGAGATTAATTAAGAACCCCTTATGCCTATTAAAACTACTGGCAGTAGTTTTAGAAAGCTACTTTTAAATGTCATGTCACACTAGTTCCTCTTGTTAAAAGCATCTTTCAGTGACAAGCTTTTAATTTTGAAAACACTAATTTTGGATCTTTCATGGTTATTCCTTTCTGGGACCTCAGAAAGCTGTGGCTGCCCTCCAGTCAGAGATACTCACCTGTGTTTTTCCGTAGGATGCTGCCTACTTCAGCAGTTACGTTTAAGTCAGCACCCAGCCTCAAGTTCGTTTTTGTGAGGTGGGGGTTGTAGTTCATTTTTTTCCCATGCAGGTGCTCAGCTCTGCTGGTGCCATGTATTGAAAAGACTTTCCTTCTCTGCTGGACTGTGTTACTGCCGTTGTCAGAACTCAGGTGGCCACACCAAGGTGAACCAGTTTGCAGGCGCTCTCTCCCCTGGACCGTGGGCTTATTTATCCATCCACAGGCCAGGGACACAGTCGTGATTACCAGGTGCTACCTACAGTGCTCCTTCTGTTGCTTTAAAAACTGTAAGCCTCCCCAAATGAGGGGATATACATTAAGTTTAAATAAATGAATGGAGTCAAGCTTAGCCTAAAATAATTCTTATAAAACCATCTTTAAACATTGTATCACAGCTTTGAAAACACTCCAGAATTACTATCCTATCCAGAGCCAAAATATATTTACCCACAAACAAATGAAAACCTACAAATTCTTCCTTCTGACCTCTAACCAAAATTATGTATGAAAAATACTTTATTGCCTTTTCTATTCAGTTTCCCACCAGGTTTTACCCCATTATTTAGTAACACCTCCATGTAGTAAAAGCTTAAAAACCACCCTTTGAAAAGTCCTGTGTCTGAAGCTGGAAGTCAGATCCACACTCTCTGTATGTGTTTAAACATTCCATAATGAAATGTTAAAAAGTCATGTATCCATTTCAGAAACGTGCCAAAAAATGTTGACCATAGAAGTTTTATAAAATTTTCTTGAAAGTTTAAGTTGGAAAAGATTGGGAACAAGAACACAATATTATTTTTATAAAATAAAAAACAGAGCAAGTCCCAAAAGCAATGGCGAGGAAGAACTCCCCCGAGGCCACACTGCTGTGGCTCCCGGAACCCGCTGGGCTGTACACTTTTGTTCACGTTGGCGTGGGAGGGTCCTCCACCACCAACACCCGCTTAAATAAAAAGCAGATGCCCCAAATTGTCAAACCGTCAGTATTTTATAAAAATACAGATTAACAGCTGGAAAAAAATGTCACCAAGCTAACACCAGAAATCTTTAGGATTTACTATTTGTTCTTAACCTGAAATTCTGCTCTGAAAATAATATTCACACCTTGAAACAGTTTTACATAAATAACCCCACACACTTAGAGTTTGCGAAAATAAAATCGGGATGTTTATTACTTTTTCTACTGGCAGCAATGAAAATCACTAGAAACTGTACTTTTCTCCTTTGTAAATGACCTGCATTAAAATTATATTTTTCCAAATAATTAATATAGGACATAAAATTCGGTTTTAAAATCCTCAAAATATTTAATTATCCAAGACAGAAATACTGATTTTTTTCCCATTAATGATCAGAAGAAACAAGAGATCACGTTCATTCAAGATCTGACATTTATAAACTTTAAGCATTTGACAGAGCTAAGTGATCAAAGGATTAATTTTAACAATTACAGGTAGAGAATACCATTTGTTCATTTTCTAGGCCCATTACAGTAGCTATATATGCAGGGAATCACAGAAGTTCTCAGGTCCAAGGTCAAATAATGGAATTTGGGCAAGCACTCTCAGCATCATTTGTATTTAATAGGCACTCCATGCACATGATGCAGGTAGGGAAACGTTTGTGGGTCCATGCATTAACGACAAAACAGACCGGTACTATCGCCAAACGTGCAGAGTCAGTCGGGGTGTTGCTCAATGTCCTTTACACTTAATGGTTCCCATGGAAATAATTGCAGAAGCAGAAATGTGTGCACATCCCAAAGCATCTTTATTTGGTTTCCTGTGCTTTCTTTGCGTTCTGTTTTTCTTTTGCCTAGAAATTAAAGATAGTATATTATAAAATCTTCAATGTCTGTTTTAGAGCATGTTAAAAGAAAATATCTAACAGCATTCTTAAGCTAAAAGGCTTGTAATGCAGTGTTGGTATTTCTAGATGATTAGTTACAATTCACTCTCATTCAAAAAATCACATTTGCTTTGTACTTCTATCAGAATTTGATATGTATTATTTTAATTCTAATAACTTAAAATATATATAATTACTCCTTCCATAAAGTCATACTAATTCAAAAGTATTTCAAAACAATATATTTATATATGTGCCCACTTCTCGTTCAAATAAAATATATAAGAAAAACCTTGTAATAGTTTCTGACTATTTGGATGAATTTAACACATGTTCCTAAACTTTGCTTACATGACCTGAGAAGTGTTTCACAGATTATCATAATTATACAGCTTGAACACAGTCATTCCATTTTAATGTTCCACAGACAAAGCAGCCAGACTTTAGAAATGCTATCAACCCAGGAAAAGCACATGGCTGGTGCACAGTGAACCACAGCAGTGGTCCCAAGACACGCCTTCTGCAGTGTGCTGCTCAGTGTGTGCCCAGGGACCTGGGCTTGTCAAGGTGCAGGGAGATTCTGTAAAATGCCTGCCCAAGGCTCTACGTTTCTAGCAAACTCTCGGGATGCCAGTTCTGCAGGTCCGCAGACAACACGTAGAAGAACGGGATTTGAGGGTGATAGAACGCAATGTTCCTTCCACTCAGCCTCAGAACCAGAAAGGGACACATTAGACTTCTGCCATTACCCAATTAAGAAAGAACTTCCTTGGATTAAAAATAAGGTACTTAAGAATAATTACCATCTTTTCCAAATGATACATTAGGTAATATAATTATTATACAACTGTATGATAAAACTGAGAGCTGTGCCCTAGAGTGTCTTAAAAGTGAACATTATGTGTGCCATATAAAAAATAATAAAATTGCCTGCATGAACATTTTTTGTTAACAAGCAGTTTGTAATTTGATATGTACATGATTTCTCATACAAAGAATTTTTGTTTCTAAATAATAATACAATAGGTTTTAGACATAATTTGAAGTAAGAATATGTACCTCTTTCCTAATTGATTTCTAAATATACTCTAAATATTATAGTCTTTTTAGTAGGATTAACAAGAATGAATTTACTGGTTTATAGCATAAACTTTAAAACATACATGAGCAAAGAAAGACATATAATGCAGAAAGTGCCCATATATTTATTAAACTATATAACTCAGGTATAATTAAGGATAAGTCAAAATTAAATAACTTAAAAGTAATTACCACCATTTATTAAGCATTTATCATGTACTTTACAGGTAATGATCATTGATTCTTAGGTATAACTCCCAATTTACGAAAAAGGAAATAGATATTACATATAATAACTAAAAATACCTGCTAATAAGTTACATATATGTATTTTGTTCTGCCTTTATTAAAAAGTAAAAAATGCTCCCTGGCTGGTGTGGCTCAGTGGATTGAGCGCAGGCCTGTGAACCTAAAGGGTCTTGGGTTCAATTCCCAGTCAGGACACATGCCTGGGTTGCAGGCCAGTTCCCAGCAGGGGGCACGTGGAAGGCAACCACATGTTGATGTTTCTTTCTCTCCCTCTCTTTCTCCTTCTCTCCCCACCTCTCTAAAAATAAATAAATAAAATCTTTTAAAAAATACTATCAGATTTCCAACTGCATGGAAAAACATACTGTTAAAAAACACTTTCCTTCTGCATAGTATGCCAATGAGATACTAAAACTGCTGAATCAAGTTAGATCAAGTCTATAATCACAGGTATTAATATACACATATTACAAATAGCTTTTTCTACCCTATTTATAGTAAAGGACAGAAAAAGTTCTTAAGACTTGTTATCTATTACCAATTAAATTACAATATCTTAGTAAAATGTGGACAAATGTCAACACTGTGAAGTTGCCTTGAATGCCCCGTAGCAACTGAATTTATAGTTTTCTATTATGGTAGGTTATTGGTAGGTTAAAAACTTGGGATTGACAATGATTCAGAGTTACATATAAAGGTTAAGAGAAAATTTTAAGAATTTTAAGTATACTTGAACAAGTTAAAATTTTACAAATAATATCTTTATATCTGACTTTATTATTTTTTAAAGATTGTATTTATTTTTAGAGAGAGGGGAAGAAAGGGAGAGTGAGAGGGAGAGAAACGTCAGTGTGAGAGAGAAACATTTACGGGTTCTCTCTCACACCCCCAACTGGGGACCTGGCCCACAACCCAGGCATGTGCCACGGCAAGAATCGAACCAGTGACCTTTCGGTTTGTGGGGCAGTGCTCAACCCACTGAGCCACACTGGCCAAGGCTATCTGATTTCCTTTTATATTTAAGGTTCAGATTTGATAAACGGCACCAGAGGTTTTATAACTGTATTTCTAGGGTTACCTCCAGAGCAGTTTTTATGTAACACAGTCAGTGAACTCATCAGATGAGGGTAGAAGCCCTGATACAACAAAGACACTGTGAGGGTAAGACCTTAACCTGACCCATGACAGCCACATGCCGTAGGAGGTTCAGTCTTCACCTCTGCTTTGATACTCAGGAGGATGAAAAGCCTTCCAGAGTTCAAACACAGTCTTGCCTCTGCAGGCTGCAGCGGCTGCCTCGGCTGCCCAGAAACCTGCCCGGGGCGAGCGGGGGTTCAGCAACCCTGCCTGGAGGAGTCGTGTTTGGTTCCTCCCACCCTCTTTCACACTTTGTTCCCATACTCTGCTTTCCCTTGGCTGGGGGAACACTTCGACTTAACAATCCATTTCTGAATTCTCTAAGTAATTTTTCTTGGACGTATTACCATTAAGTGACCATCACTATTAAAGCCTCTATATTAAAGGTAGTTATAAAATTTAATCTCAATCTATTCTCTTTTTAAATTTTAACCATATTTACCTTATCAGTAGAAAGTGGTATTTCCCATGATACTTCCTTTTTAAAAATAAGATAAGTAAGAATATAATTGTGCTATGGAAGCTGATTTATTGGTAGAGATTAAGCATTTAATTCTAACCAAAGAGTTAAAATTCTGTGGATGTGAAACCCTTCCTCTAGGATCTTTCCCATGACTTTTTCTGGCACTTATAAAATTTTAAAGAAGCTATTCAGCACAGTCCTGTAATTAATTATTTTTCCCCCAACTCTATCATAAATTGCTTAAAAGAAATCTCTCATGTGTATAGCCATAGACTTTAATGGAGTGCCCGAACTGTTTGCACCTACATAAATGATGAGTAATTAAAACATTTCAAAAATTTTAATTAGATAATGATTTGAATTCTCTTCAGAATCGAGGGAGATAACATAGTGTGTATACAAGAAATACACAAATCTCAGTAGTGTATACACGGTATCAATAATCAAAGAACACTTTGGAGAGACAGACAAAAGCTAGGAGGCGAGGAACCACCATTCGGTGAAGCAAATGCAAACACGAACCGCAGCCCGGGTGCTCCCACGGTGCTCCTGCACTGCCCCCCTGTGTTCAGATGGGAGCTCAGGACCCACAGTGCTGCCCAAATGCTGGCAAGCTTGGGTTCTCTAACTATCCTTTCAGAAAAATCTGGAATTACACTGTTATTAAAACCAAACAAAAATTGTCCTTTTCCCAATTCATTTACAAAATATTTACTCACAGTACGATTTTAAAGTGAAATATACCCATTTAAAGTTTATCAAATAACATTTGCCTGCTCCTTGCTATTTACACAAAACTAACATTATCATATGATTTAGCAAAACAGTCTACATTATTAATTTATTATTTCTTATTATTAGAGAGCTATTTCATAGTGCTTTATACAAAGAACACAAGAGCTAGGTACTCTGTTAACTGAGCCAAACTGAGAGTCACAGAATCTTAATTGTTAATCTAAAACTTTAAAAGTCAGTTTCCTATCTTGGACTTTTATAACTTTGATACCCTAAAATACACGAATAGAAAAATGTACATTGAAAAGAGAAGATTTAGCAGTCTTCCGCAAAAATTTTTGCATTTAAAGGTAAAAGTTGAAGCACATGATTCAGGACTTGGGAAACAAGGTACACACAAAAATGTTAACTTACATCTCATATTATTTAGAATTTATGATCACGTAAAACAGCTGGGTTGAAATGTACCTTTGCTTCATAAACTTGAAATTAATAAGAAAAAATGTCTAGCATGTAAGTATATTCTGCTCTTCAAGTAAATGGTCCAATATTTTATTTGTCTAGGAGTTGTCTTCTCAAAGTATTTCTCAAAATGTGGTGCAGACCAGCTGCCTTAGAATCACCTGGGGGAAGGAGGGCTTCTTAAAGGCTCCTTCCCTTATATCAGAATGTCTGGAGAGGGGCCAGGTAACGTGTTTTAAAAAGTATCCAGTGCCAGTCACTTTCAGAAACATTAATTTATAGTATAAACTAAAAAACAATTTTAATTTGTTTCACTAACTGAACAAATCTTTCGGTACCTTATATAAAGAAAAAAAGAAATTTAGAATGTTTCACTAACCAATGCTCGTTTCCCATCAGTGGAAAGAATACTCGCTTCCAGATAACAAAACTCAATTTTTAGTCTTGGCTACATTTTTCCCCCTCGTCAATGTCTGTTCTAGTTCTAAATTCTACGATAACTCAAATGCTTGCTAAATTAAATACGGAAAATCTATTATCTCAGTTATTAACATTAAAAGTTGTCTTTAGCTTAAAGAAAGGAGAATATTTTCCGTTTTATTCTGCTGCGGCACAACCTGAGCTGGGCGGCACAGTAGGGAGCCACCCCTTGTTTTTCTCTACAAACACCTGGCTGATCTAATGCCCACCTAGAATATAAAACTGTAGGAGAAGGCGTGTAAACAAAAGTCAAAAGCTTCAACTAATCTTACCTCTACCTAAGCCAAAAGGAATTTTGTTTGGGGGGAACCTAAATCCCATTTAATATAGGCAGTAACGCTGTAATAACGGTCCCTGGTGCCGGGCGGCCCTGATTTATCAGGGTACCTACGTGAAGGCCCACCTGCTGCGCAGTACCCGCAAGCTAATACGAGTGTGTGGGGTGCACACTGCACCTGAAAGACTGAAAAAGAAAATTCCACGAAGACCAAACATATACAGAAAGAGAGATACAAGGTATTCACCAGGAAATTCTTACCCTTTCTTTTTTAAAAAAGATTTCATTATTTTTTTAAAAAGATTTCGTTATTTTTTTTAGGGAGAGGTAAAGAGAGAAAAACATCAATCAGCTGCTTCTCATACACACCCTGACCAGGGACTGAACCCCACAAGTCAGGTAGATGCCCTGACTGGGAATCGAATCAGTGACCTTTCGCTTTGCGGGATGATGCCTGACCAATCCAGCCACACCAGTCAGGGCCTTACCTTTTCTACCAGTGGTATTAACTGCTGGTGTTCTGCTAACGTCTTTAACAATTCCATAATGAAAGGCAGGTAATTGTGCTTCCTTCTGATATTTTCAATCTGAAAAGGAAACAAATATCAAACCATACTAGCTTTACATTCTAGGTTTCTGAGATTTTAATTGTGCATACAATTCAGAATAGAAATGGGAAAAGAAACCCTTCCATTTTCACAGAAAAATTTTTGAAATAATGAGATTACATTCCTACTGAAAACAAAAAGAACAAACATGCTGAGTTTCCTGGGCACAGCTTCCTATTGATTTAGGAAGTAACGGAGACTTTTAAGAGTCTAGTCTAAGACCATTTATGAAAACCGAGCTCACAAAAGCGGCACTCCTACCTCCCACACCTGCGCAGTCACCAGGCCAGGCCTCCTGAGACCAGCTTTATTCTGGGAGGGCTGGTTAAGCTTTCTGTGAGTTATTTCCAACCAGAATAGGGTAGAGTGTGGGGGAAAATCTGTGCTTCAGTGGAAAACTAAGCATGGTCTAGATCACACCCTCCCAAGTTATGTGATTCGAGCCTTACACTGCCATCGAGCCATGAAATATTCTGTCTGGCAGAGGTTCAACATACTTCACATCCACCACAGGAGAAAGAGTGATTCCCATTGTTTGTAAATTCATTTCAATATTCCTTTACTTCCTCTAAATTTGAGCTGCTTTGATTTCTCATGTGAACTAGTTATGACACCTTCCAGATTCCCTCAATTAATGAATTAAAATCTTAACATATTCATTTTATGTAAGAATCATTTTATGAGAATCATTTTAGCATTTTTTGAACGAAGCATTCTCAAATAATATACCAAGTAAAGATTCTGAAAAACTACTTTGTGTTTTATGTTAGGCAAATATTAAAAATTATGTAATAACCCTGCATAAGAATATATTAAGTGCTTGGATAGTTATTTTTTTACATCACATTAAATGGAAGATGAACATTCACACTTTCATCCCTTCTTTCCCTGTCCCCATGCACCAGGCCCTCCTTTTCCTGCCTGGAATACCTGGGAGCCGGCCACCACCACTCTACCTGAAGAAATCCCACTAGTTCAGGGCCATTTAGTTGATTTAATAATCATTTGCTGGCTATTACATATGATGCAAAGCAATGTGCTGATACCACCATGGTGGGCAATAAAGAGACAACCCTTGCCTTCAGCTGAGCCTTGAATGAACAACAACGCTCTCTGCACTGTGACATGCATGACCAATGACAGGAGTGCCGTGTCCAAAGTCGCGTCCCTTCACTCTTTCCACTTTCTCTGGAAAAAGCTTATTGGACAGATTGAAAGTGAAGGAGAATGATATTACTAAAGATAGCCTTGCTTTGTAGTTGACTCTGAATAATAAAAATGTTTGACATAATTAAATGAAAAAAAATTTTAAACCTGAAAAATTGGAAAGCAAACTAAAACGAATAAACCGATTTGTGTATCAAATTGGTAATATGACCAATCCACACCAAGAGAAAAGTTTTTCAAGTGAATTTAAAAACATAGTAATTTAATTATATAAAATGGGATATATCCTAAGGGAAAAAATTAATGTAAGAAAAAAAATAACATAAGAAAGAAACCTCTCAGTTATCAGCACTCCCAGTATTGTTATTCTGAACTTTATATAACTTATACATATATATATATATACACACACATACATATACATATTTACATGTAGCATAAAGCATATAAATATTTATTTTACATACATATGCTAGAGACATGTAGCAGAAAGCAAGTAAGTAATTATGTTACTGTTGTCAGCAACCCAGATTTTCAGATTAAAAGATACAAATGCTTCATTTTAAGTATAAAAGCCCTCTTAAACCTATTATTTGAATATTAATATGGAATTCGCATTGTTTTCTCTTCAAAAATGGAACACAAAAATCAAACAAACATGTATTTCGTAGCTCTGAAAAGACCTACAAATAATGACCAATCACTCACTAAGCACCCTGAGCACTCAAAGAATGGTTCCCAAATACCACTTCCCGCCAAAGGACCCAGGGCTTCTTGAAGAAAAGGGCTGACTCTGAGTCTGCGGCAGGAAACGTACAGGACGGGTCTGCAACGTCTCAGCACCTAGAAGGGACAGGAGGCAGCCGCCGACGATGAGGACTCCTGTCGGGACTCAGGAGACAGCCTGGAGTGGCTCCTACCGGCCAAAGCGGCGATAACTAGAGTGCTCAGAATAAGTGAAGTGAACTGAAACATCAAATAGGTTAAAAATCTGTTCATAGTAATACTTACAAATGTAGGGAAAAGTTTTTAAAAATTAGAGAAATCTTACTAGTTACTTTTGTAGAGTACCAGAGAATCAACCCATGGTTCTGAAAACTATTACACATGGAAGAAAAAGGATCTATCAGTCAACATACCTTCATGTCAAAATGCATCACTCTACATTGAAACACTGAAGAAACAAATTTTAAAAATACCTTATATCTTTTTAGTTTCTGCACTTCTTCTTCAATAAGCATCTGATTTTTGGCCACCTCTGACTGAATAGCACTTAACATGTTACCCTGATCCGTATCCATGGGTTCCTCCTTAGGGGAAAGAAAAGAAACAACACACCCTAAAACCTGAGGCTTAAGTCCAGAATATTTGCAAATGATAAACAGTACAGTTCTTTTCAAGTTTTACTCGTAATACAGTAACTGAACATGAGCCTCGTAAGTGCGGTATTAAAGGCTAAAAGCCCTATGGAGTGTCTGCCATGTCTCCATATTCTACAACACACAAACATTTACTCAACAATCCATTCTGGAACACACTTCAGTGCTGTGCCCTTCCATTCAGCTAGAAACTTGTTGCAACATATTCTTTAGAAAATGTGATCAAAGGAATGTAAAGAATGTCTGTTACTAATTCTCTGGTCCAATCCTACTTACTACAAAAAGATAATCAATCATTAAGACTAGTAAAGATTACTCGTCAATCTCAATGTACCCAGTTGATCCTGTGGGGAAGGTAGTCTACTTTGCTATGTAGTTAATGGCAGTAAATAATTAACTGCTAACACTTAGTTAACACACACTGCTTGACAGTCACTGTCTAAATCAGCGAGATATATATATATGTCTACGTATGTGCATGTGTGTGTAGATGTGTGTCTACACGCACACATATATATATGTGTGTATATAAATCTCAGTTAATCCTCACAATGACCTGCAAGGTAAACACTGTCACCCTCATTTTACATAAGAAACCGAGGCACAAAGAAATATGCTCAAATCCATATTCACTTGGTGGCAAAGCCAAGAGCTGAGTCTAGCAGCCTGATTCCTGGGTATATTAAGCACCACTCAGAACACTTAAGTAACAGAAGGAAAGAAAGAAGAAAAGGAGGGAAGGTAGGAGGGAAGAGGAAGGAAAAGGTAAACACTTTCCCTGAGCAAATAGCTAAGTTTGAACTTAAAAACATGGCCACAAACCTCGGCAAGCTGTCTTTGTAACTCTGCTATCTTCTGTTCATATATCATTTTTCTGTCAGACACAATGGCCATTAAGTTAAATCGAATTTCACCTTCACTGTACCTAAAAAAAAGTTAAAGTTTATAATGTAACAAAGAATTGTAAACACTATTACAATTAAGATAGTCTATAGTGATTAGCCCATGATTCTCTGGGAGAGCAAAGTCAATGGTTCATGTATTGGAGATTCAGCGTAGTAAAAGATGCCAATTCTCCTCCACAATTACTGTCAAAATTGTGCCAGAGCAGGGGAACAGGCATAAGCAAAAAGAAAAAGGAACAGTGACTTAACTTCATACCATAAAATTAACTCAAAATACAGTAAATGCCAGACTTCAGTGAAAAATGTTAAAGCATAAACATTTTAGAAAAAAGATGCAGTAAAGTCTTTGGAACCTAGGGCTAGGCAAAGAGTTCTTAGATTTGACAATAAAAACACAATTACAGTGGGGAAGACTGACTGAGATCAAGAGCTTTTGCTCTAAAAGCGTCAGGAAAGGGGCTGCAGATGGGGAGAGAGTTGCCTGCAGACAACTGGTCTAAGGACTGGCAGTACCTGGAGTACGGAAGGCCCCACAGTCCAAAGAACCCAATTACAAAATAGGCAAAAGGCATGAAAAGGTTCTCAACATCATTAGTAATTAGGGAAATGCAGATTAAAACCACAGTGAATCCCTTGACAAAACCAAATGCCAGCAAGGATGTAAAGAAACTGGATCACTCATACATTGCTGGTGGGAATATAAAATGGTACAGCCACTCTAGAAAAGAGTTTAGTCGTTTCTTAAAAATGAACCATGAATTTACCATAAAACTCAGCAGCAGTGCCATGCCCCTGGGCACTTATCCTAGAGACATGAAAACTCATGTTCACACCAAAGCCTATATACAGATGTCTGTCACAGCTCTGCTTGTGACAGCCAAAACCTGGAGACAATCCAGATGTCCATTCGACGGGGCAATGGGCCGAAAACGGCACATCCATTCCACAGACTAGTGATGGAAAAGACTGAACCACTGATACTCAACAACCCCCATGAATGTTAGAGAATTACGCTGAGTGAAAGAAGCCAATTCAAAAAAGCAGCATATTGTATGAATCCATTTATAAACCACTACACTCTTTAAACAACAAAACGTGCATGGGGGCGGGCGGTAGGGGGCGGTGTGGTGGAGGCTCGGAACAGGCCGCAGGAGGGGTCCCTGGGATCATCTGAGTCTTGTCTCATCCGTGTCAATACCCAGGCTGTGACACTGTGCCCCAGGGTTGTAAGATGTCACCATCACAGGGCAAAGGCTGCACAGGCTCGCTATGCAGTCTTTGTATAACTGAACGTGAATACATAATTATCTCAGAAAGTTTAATTTAATTGAAAAAAGAGATGGTGAAAAGCGAACTCTACAAAGCAGCTGTACAAAAGATCTAACTTAATGGGGGTTTACATGTTTAACAGAACTCAGAGATTTTCTGAAATAGACTTCCTGAACACATTCATATTAACCTAATCAAATGCAGATATCCGGTAAGCACTGCTAAAATAGAAACAAAGTAAGAGTGTGTAAAGATGTTTAAAAACCAGAACGCCACGCCAGTGAGATGAGCTGCATGCTTACTTTTGTATCCTTTTCTCTATGACGGGCCTCACGGCGCTGATCCAGTCGTCCTGATTGCACGCACCTGGGGAGACAGACGCACAAGCGCTTACAGCCACTGAAACCGCCATTAACACTGCTCCCCGACTCTGGTCCGACATCGCTCTTTTTATAAACAGTTTAGGAAATTCAGAGTGGTAAAAATCCTTTCAGCTTAACTATGTTCAGCTTCCTTTTATTTAACTGACAATTATTGGGGTGACATTCATTAATAAAATTATATAGGTTTGGGGGTACAATTATAAAATACATCATTTGTATACTGTATTGGGTGTTCATCACCCCAAGTTCAATTCTTATTTTCAAATAAGAAAGCGAATTATCACAATTTACATGTCACATGATTTTGCCACTTAGTAGGTGCTAAACAAATGTTTGAGAAGGTAATGAATTAGGGAAAAACCAGCCCCCATGGTAGTGGCAAAAGAAGGATTCAGCCCTTATCTGCCTGACTCCCCACCACCGTTAACGATAAAAAACTGAGATCCACACATAAGCAAAACCAATTTTACCCAGTTGTTTTAATTCTTTTTTTCACCCTAAGTTTTAACACAGCCTCATAGTTGTATAGTAAAACTTGCTCTTCTCTTTCATCTTTCACTTCCTTTATATGAGAGAAGCCAATGGAGAAAACACAGAGATCAGATCAACCACCGAACTAGGGAAAATCAATTTCTACAGAACTGAAAGAACATTCTATTCATTTTTTTACAACAGAGATAAAAAAAATAAATGTTTCACTATAGCAATAACATGTAATCTGCATTAGACAAACCATTGGTTCTATACATGAGACAGAGTCAAAAAATTACAAACAAGCCATGGCTGGTGTGGCTCAGTGACTGGAGTGCCGGCCTGCAAATCAAAGGGTCACCTGTTCAATTCCCAGTCAGGACACATGCCTGAGTTTCAGGCCAGGTCCCCAGTAGGGGGTACGCAAGAAACAACCACACGTTGATGTTTCTCTCCCTCTTTTTCCTCCCCTTCCCCTCTCTAAAAAATAAATGAAATCTTTTTAAAAAATTAAACATTTTTTACAAACAAAATTAAACAAATTAAAAACAAGCAAAATGAAATTCTGAAATAATTTTTTATGTATAAAATTTTATGAACAGCAAATAACATTAGATTGAATTAAAGCAGTTTTTGAATTAAAACGGGCCCATAAGTTTTCTTTTAATTTAATGAGATAAAAATAAAATTTTTTTATGGGCCTGTTATTTCTGTGCTATGTCTGGACTACCAACGTCCCCTCACCCTTAACAACCATTTGTCATTCTTGCTCAAGGTCAGAGACGAGGTGGGATCAGGGCAAATCTGCCCTTTGGCCCAAAGGGCAGCACATCAGTGCACTATTCACACAGAAACTTTGGAGAAAAATATTTCTGTAGATTAACATTAAACATTGAAATTAAAGTGACTCTGAATGACCAAAGGAAAACATTTTAGTGCTAGATGCTAAGAAATGCTCACCGTTCCTTATCAGTTGGTTAAAAATGACAAAAATAACTCAAGTTCACCAGACAAAGTCGCTTCTAAGTTAAAAAGTAAAAAATAAATCATGTCATCTACGGTTTAAATTCTGTTTTCTCTTAGAAAAAAATGAAAGGTTCCGCGTGAACTGCAGCGGCTGGCATGTCCCTCCTGTGTGGCAATCCCACCCAGTGCAGAAGACTCGAGGCCGTCGCCACACTGCACTCCCCGCGCCACCTTCCCCTTCCCTCCTCTGCAGCACTGAGGCTAACACACAGGTGAGCGAGAGCCCGATCCTTCCTCCTGGGCGAGGTGAGCTACCAGGAACAGGAACTGGGTTACCTAAATCAATCGGTCCTTCCCGCAGTCCGTCTAACTCATACAGTCTTCCGTTAACAGGAACGTAACTGACAAAGTGAAAAGCATCTTCTTCTTTGGCTGATGTCTTTGCATCAAATTCAAACATCTGCTGTCTGCAGCGAAGGGAAAGGAGCATAAGAGACAAACAGGCAAAGGAAGAAGCAGGGCCCATCTGGCGGGAAGTCTCTTACCTGGCGAAGCTGTTGTGCACTTGTCGGATGACATCTGAATTGCTCAGTGCCAAACCTTTCATCTGAAATAATTTTTAAAAGTCACCCATTAAAATAAGAACTATCACAAAGAGAGCATTTTAAGAATAATAAGACTATACTCACAGCTGCATCAAAACTTTGTGAAAATTCTTTAAACTCCGACAACGTCTCTCCTAAATGAACATCTTGATGAGTGCAGTTCAATAACACACTGACTATGGCTTGTGTAGCACAAGCATTATTAATTACCTGTAAAGTATACAAATGAAGATACGAGTTTGTTAGAAAAACTTTTAAGCAGAGACAATAAGCCCCAAAATAGAAAGTTAATCGTTTTCTAATTTTGTTTCATATCTTCTTAGCATAAACATAATAAGACCTTTAATTCCAATTCTAATCTAGTTTCAAGAACTTGCTGCAGTTCTGGAGTTGAAGATTCTAGGAACCCAAACACATGAAATGAACTCGTAGCCTCACCGACGGCAATCCAGTTAGGGTGGCAAGACCAGCCCTTCCTGATCTAGAGCAAAACTGAGGAAGCCAACAGAACTCGCCTTCCCATCCTGTTCATGTCCCTCCTAAGGCTGCGCTTTCCAACCGGCTTGCTGCATGAATTTTTAAAACATCCAATACTTGCCTAGTCAGGGGCTGTCAATAAAAAAATGACAGCCAGCAAAACAACAGCTGTTGGTGTGAATCAATCAAAATTATGCTTTTTTGTCAGATCTGCAAACAAGATATTTTTGGTGTGCTGCAGAATTCTAGTATTTAGGTTATATGTACCACAAAATGAAAAAGACTGAAAATCGCTGTCCTAAACTCTTTCTACCTGTTCAAATTCAACCCATATTTTGGCACCTAAAGTAAGCTCCAACTGACCTATGTGGTTTTCAGAGAAATTATCCAACAACTCATTTCAGTTTCCCCTCTCACTGCAGACAAGGGCTTCTCCCACAGCCCCCAGAGCCTCCGCAGCATCCAGACCATCCAGCTGGAAAGAAGCTCAGAGGGTCGGTGAACACCCGCAAGGTGAATGGTAGAGACGAACTCAATTTGGTACATGATTGCAAACATATAGCTTAATCTTATTGCTGTATTTCGTTACTGTACTGTAATTGAATACCACTTTCTAATTACAGTCTTTCCATAAAATGGTAATTTACTTAAGATTCTACCATTTGGAAGTTATCTATTTATAACCTGCCTAATTTCAGAAGAAAATTTTTCAATTATCTTCCCTCTTTAATTCCTCTACTTTTCACGGTGCCAGGGGCTCGTGAATGGCCACCAGCTCGTACGTGTGTAACTACAGTATGCCTGCCTTTTGCATGCGGGAACGCTCTCTCCCGATTCCCAACAAATTCGGCGATGCCACCACACAGCTGCAACTCCTCTTACAGAGCTCTTGCCCCAAAGCTTCCCCATAACTGACAAGTTAGGGAAAAGTAACAGACCTACAATCCAATTGATATGGTTGCTGATTTCTTTCAATATCTATTTTGATCAGAATCCCAACTGTTTCACAGATCTGGATAAAAGTTTTTTTATTTTTAAAGAACACTTTATAAAGGTGGTTAACTTTTTGAGAGTTAGTGTTCCCTTACCTTGGGCCAAAATTAGGGTGAAGTTATCTGGGGGTGGGGTAGGAGTGAAGTCATAAGACATTAAAGTTTATACTTATTCACACATTCTTTCAAAATCGTGACACATTAAGAACATGATAATTCTATGACACGTCCCTATTATTTAAGGACTCCAAATCTGTGATGTATCACTTTAAAAAACTTTCTAAAGACTTAGGAAAGCATTCCACCCAAACTCATCAAACTGTACCCATTTCCGTGAAGCGAGCCACAGCTGCGTGGCCCTAACCCAACATAATGCCCGTCCAGCTTGCTGTGCTCGTTACATGGGTGTCTGTCAGTGCCTCTGACTAGTCTCGCTGCCTTCTGCCATCAAGCTGTTATTAATCTAGGATGATCCTCCACCTCTTCCCCCAGTTAATACCTACTTAACCTCTAGATGTCAGCTAAACTGTCACTCACAGGTGCCTTTTTAGATCTCCCTGAAGGGGCCAAGTCCCTCGATTCGATGGGCAGTGAAGAATCTAATATTGCACAGAGAGAGGTCTGGCCTTTGTCCTTGGCTCATGGGACACGATCTCCAAGCTCTGGAAAAGCCATGCCTCGTGGCCTGCCTTTGTTTACCTGAGGGCTCTGGGCCACACAGATGGTCTAACACTGCGATTCAGGGTGGGGTTGTATGTCGACGGCACCAGCCCGGCCTCCAGTGCAGCTGGAGACAGACCATCCATGTGGGCGTCAACCGGGTCTGCGTGACCGAGGCCCACTGAAAACTCTGGGTGCCAACAGTCCTTCGAGGTTACCTGGATGGCATTTCTCTGGATATAATGTCACACGTCACTGCCCGGAAAGGTGGTGCCACCTGTGACCCCACTGGGGGAAGATGACTGGGAGCTTCCTGCCTGGAACCTTCCAGGACTCCGGCCCGTGTGTCTCCTCCCTGGGCTGAACTGAACTTGCGGCCTTTCCCTGTAATAACCTGTAACTGTGGCAATAACAGCTTTCAAAGCCGCCTATGCGTTTTTCTACCAAACCGCAGCACTGGAGGGTGACCCTGGGGGACCCCAAGCATGGAATGTCAGAAGGGAGCATGCTTCGGGGGCCCCTGAACTCTGTACTTGGTGTCTGAAGTGAGGGGCTCCTCAGATTATCTTACAGCTGTGAGCCACGGCTCTCATTTCATGCCAGGTGGCACATGTCACTGTGAGTTTGCTTTTCACTGACTATGCCCACGTCCACGGAATTCCAGCACCCGGCACAGTGGCTGGCACCCTGTGGGCACTTGATCTGTTACTTCCTGAAAGACGGGACGGATGGAGCCAGACACGCCCAGGACCACCGCAGCACACTCTTACCACCTGCATCAGACCATCCTTGCTCGGTAGGAGGTGGCTGCTAGATGACGCTTACCAGAAAAGCATTACTGACCTGTTCTTCTGGGCCCTTACACACAGGCTGTAATGACCAGAAGAGGACTTCTTTCTTCAACACTGAATTAATCAGTGATCTACACACACACCTCCCATTAGAGTGTATGATTAGCACTAGACAGTCAGCATTATCATCTCTCTAATTGGTGCAGTTCTTTGGGGAGCTTGATTTTTAGAGTGTATAGGTGTCCAAACAAAAAAATGTTGAGTGCTGCTGCATTAAGGACACAGGGGGAACACAGTCCTGTTTGGAAAAAAGGCTGCTCTCAAGACCTCAGAACACCCAAGTACCATACCTGCTTGGCAAAAAATATCGTGTCAAGTCTGGAGTCCTGAACCACAGAGCCTGCTGGTTCTTCTCCTGGCTGCCACTTGAACAAAAAAATTAACCCGTGAACAGGCCTACAAAATAAAACACAAATTAGTGACACCAATCCCTGCCTCCGTTTGCAATTAATCATCATCATGTTAAATTTTACTCAGCTACTTAACAAATACAATGCAAATAAAGTAAACTCAAAAATTTTTAAAGGTTTCTATTGCTATTCAGTTGCCAACATGTTGCCTAAGATAGGCTAATACAACTTAAAAATGACATCAGTTAAAACAGGATTATAATGAAAGGCTTACTCTCAAATCTATGGTTTATTCATTTTCTACCTTACATCACTTTATTTTAAAAAGTCAGTAGGAACAAAGCAAACCTAGAAGAAGCTGCTAAGGCAGAATGAATTCTGACATAGACAAGTGAAGTTCACTTAGGAAGTTTGCTGATAAATGGTTGACAGCATATACATTGTGAACTGGAGGGAGTGACTTAGGATAGTTACTGGAGGCATGAACAACCCTGCAGTGCGAATGGAAGGTGTCTTTACCTCGTACCAGGTAAAGCCACCCCTTTCCTAGAGAAACTCTTATTTGCCCAGGAAACAGCAAACTGCCTCCATGCAACATAAATCCTTCCTGTCCTCTAGACATTCCCAGTGACACAGCTGTAATGAACCTTCCCTGACCACTCCGCCTAAACTGATCTCATCTTCTATCTAAAGCGGCTGCACTTTTTGTGGGGAAGGGGGTGGCTTTGCCAACCATCTCCTTTTTACTAGGAAGACAGAAGCTACATCCCAGCAGTCCCTGTCATCCCTGTGAAAAGCCAACTCCCTGTCTCCATCCCAACGACTCCCCCAGGTGAAAACTCCTCCCCCTCGTCTTTTGCAACGCAGGGCTAGTGCTCGGAGACACAGAGGCAGTAGGTGAGGAGAGGCCAGGCGGGTGGCTCTAGTCAGAGGGAAGAATCTGCATCTGCATCTGGAATCTGAACTGTAACCGCCCCAGAAGCAATGCCATGATGTAGAGACAGTTCTGAGTTACTGTCAATATATATTATAAAGTATGCTTTTGTTGACACACCTCTCCTTCATGTCTTTTATGTTAAAATGTCTTCCATGTTCTAATCCATGATCTCTAAGTGAATTTGTACAAAATCAACCCATTACTTGGTTGATATGGAATTACAGGAACTTAGTTTTTAATTCCTTGCAAGTTACTTTTTAACTAGGAGTTTCAGGTTCTTGATTATAATAGGAGAATAGAATCCCACCTCACCCGATTGAAAAAAGACTTGAAGGAGATAATGTATTCAGCCTATGGTAATTCAAGTACATAAACAGACAAAAGTTTGCTCAAGTACAGACATATTTTGAATGCAGCTAAAATTATACTCACTTCAATTTTTCAAAATTCTCAGGCTCTAAACTCCATATTTCTTCTACTTGGGCACCTCGGCAACCTGAAATAAGAAATTATTTCTTTAGAAAACAAAATATGTAACTCATTTTTTCTCTTCATCATTAAATATTAACTAAAAGAAATGCGCATTTGGGGGAAAGACATGAGAAACTAAAATGGTAAAACTGATAAAGTTCACAGTCTAATCCTATTACGTCCTTTACTATTTCCTAATTATTTACAATGGGAGTATATTGCTTTTATAACCAGAAAAGTTTCAAGAGTTCATTTTCACTGACAGGTTCCTCCATGACTACTCCTTGGTTTTTGTCTCAATCTCTGGCTCTTTCTCATCCCCTTTTTTTACTCTATTGTGAAGCTTTCCCAGCTCTGCCCTTGGCCCTCTTTTTTTTATTACTGTACCCTTTTTAAGTAGTAATAAACATCTACCACTTCACAGTGACTTTTATATCACATATTAATCTCATTCCTAGATTTCTATTCTATTCTATTCTATTCTATTCTATTCTATTCTATTCTATGTTCTGCTACTCGGCATCCCCCAAACATGCTCTTCCTCTTGGACAGTGGTTCTGCACCAGGGTGACTTTTTTGCCCCTCCCAGACCATTTCACACTTCTACTGTCACTATTGTCACACTGGGGAGTGGGGGGAAAGGCTTGGTGGCATCTACTGCGTAGAAGCCATAGGTGCTAAATACCCTACATTGCAGGGGCAGCCCCCGAAAGCAAAGCTTTATCTGGTCCGACATGTGAGCAGTGCCAAGGCCGGGAAACCCTGCTCCACTGGGTCGGGTAGGAGGGTTGGTGTGAGGGCAGCCTGCCCTCTAGACTGCCATCTGCTGGCCATGTGACCAAGTGACCTCTCTGCTCCCCAAGCAAACAGTTGTGAGGAATGAATAAAATATTTGTGGTGCATAAAGCAACACAGTGCTGGCACACTTTACAGGCCCACTAAGTGTTAGCTGGTATTATCATAAAGCAAAACGCAACCGTATGTATCAGTGCCGTCTGTGTGTAAAGTGCTTTAAACGCATCTTCTCTAATCCCTACAAAGCAAATATTCTGTGAGAAAGGTTTAGGGATGTTCAGTGGCATGCCCAAATTCACTAGAGCTAGTATATGGAGTGGCTGTTAGGATAATGCTGGCCCTCATAGTATAAATGAGGAAGTATTCCTTCCTCTCTGATTTTTTTGTGGAAAATTTGTACAGAATTGGCATTATCAGGAGACTTCCGCCAAGATGGAGGCGTAGGTGGAAGCACTGCGCCTTCTCACACAACTAAGTTTAAAAACAACAAAGTTTTAGCAACAAAAATGCGGCCAAACCACAGAATATTGAACTACACGGAAGTCTGACAACGAACCCTTCAGCCAAACCGGAAAGAGGGGCAGAGCCAGCAGCAGAGCGGGATCGGGCAGGAAAGATCCACCAGACCCACTGGGGCTCGCAACCCAGGTGCACCAGCAGCCATGGGCGGATCCCAGGAGTAGAGAAGCAGGGGAACCCACTGAGGGCACAAGGCGGTGGTCCCACTGAGGGCTGACTGCAGTCACACATTCGAGCACACATAAACCGGTGAAGGAGCTAGCAGTGAGACAGACAGACCCCAGTGGCAGGAAGCGGCAGAGGGAACCACCATTTTCCCTCTATGACCCCGCCCCCACATACAGCATCACCAACCAGTGACCTGGGTGGCCCCGCCCTGGTGAACAACTAAGGCTCAGCTCCTCCTACATAACAGGCAGGAACAGATCAAAACATGGCTCAAGAACAACTCAGAGCCCCAGAGCCAATAAATCTAAGCGATGAAGAAATAGCCAAACTTTCAGATGCACAGTTCAAAACACTGGTGATCAGGATCCTCACAGAACTGGTTGATTATAGTCACAAATTAGAGGAACATATGAAGGCTAAACTAATTGAAATGAAGGGAAATACACAGGAAACCAATAGTAATGGAAAGGAAACTGGGACTCAAATCAAAGGAGTGGACCAGAAAGAGGAAAAAAATGACCAAACAGAAAAGGATGAAGAAACAAGAATTCAAAAAAAATGAGGAGAGGCTTAGGAACCTCCAGGACATCTTTAAACGTTCCAACATCCAAATTATAGGGGTACCAGAAAGGGAAGAGGAACAGCCACCAGTGGAAAACTTATTTGAACAAATAATAAAGGAGAATTTCCCCAATCTAGCAAAGGAAATAGACTTCCAGGAAATCCAGGAGGCTCAGAGAGTCCCAAACAAGTTGGACCCAAGAAGGAACACACCAAGGCACATCATCATTGCATTAGCCAAGATTAAAATGAAGGAGAGAATCCTAGAAGCAGCAAGAGATAAGGGGACTGTCACCTACAAAGGAGTTCCCATCAGACTGTCAGTGGATTTCTCAAAAGAGACCTTACAGGCAAGAAGGGGCTGGAAAGAAGTATTCCAAGTCATGAAATCCAAAGACCTACATCTAAGATTGCTCTATCCAGCAAAACTTTCATTTAGAATGGAAGGACAGATAAAGTGCTTCTCAGAGAAGATCAAATTCGAGTTCATCATCACCAAGCCCTTATTATATGAAATGTTAAAGGGACTTACCTAAGAAAAAGAAGATAAAAAAGATGAACAGTTAAAAGGACAGCAAACTCACAGTTACGAACAACCACACCTAAAACAAAAGCAAACTAAGAGGACAGCTAGATCAGGAGCAAAACCATAGAAATGAAGATCACATGGAGGGTTAGCAACAGGGGAGTGGGAGGAGGAGAAGGGGGGAGAAGGTACAGAAAATAAGTAGCGTAGATGGTAGGTAGAAAATGGATAGGGGGGAGGGCAAGAATAGTATGGGAAATATAGAATCTAAAGAACTTGAGACATGTGGTCATAAACTAAAGGGGGTGGGGGAGGGGGTGTAGAGGGTGGAGGGGAATGAAGGGGGAAATAGAACCACTGTAATGGCATAATTAATAAAATATATTTAAAAAAAGAATTGGCATTACTTATTACTGAAATATTTGATAGAATTTACCAGTGAAACCACTATGGTTGGAGTTGTCTCTGTAAAAAGATTTTAAATTACAATTTTAATTTCTTTTATAAATAGAAGGCTATACTGGTTATCTATTTTTTCTTGATTGAGCTTCAGTAATTTATGTCTTTACAAAAATTTATATATTTCATTTGTCCTATCCATGGGCCTAAAGATGTTTACAACATCCCCCTATTGTCCTTTTACTATCCAGAGAACCTGCAGGGTTATCATCCCTCTTCTTCTTTTTTTTTTTTTTAATTTTCTACTGAATCAGATAGGATTTTTTTTTTTTTTTTAGGATTTTATTTATTTATCTTTAGAGGGGAAGGGAAGGAGAGAGGGAGAGAAACATCAATGTATGGTTGCCTTTCGTGCGTCCCCTGCTGGGAACTGGCCTGCAGGGAACCTGCCTGCAACCCTGGCATGTGCCCTGACTGGGAATCGAACTGTGAGTGTCTGGTTCGCAGGCCCGCACTCAATCATCCCTCTTCTTTTGATATTGGTCATTGTGTGCCCTCTCCTCTTCTGATTGGTCTGGCTAGAGGTTTATCCATTTTATTGATCTTTGGAAAATGGCTTTTGGTTTCATTGACTTTTCTCCATTATTTTCCTCTTTTCTCTTTCATTAAATTAATTTAAACTCTAACCTTTATTATTTCCTTTTATCTGTTTACTTTAGATTTAATTTGCTCTTCCTTTTCTAGTTTCTTAAAGTGAAGGTGGGGTCGTTGATTTGTTGTAGGAAAAGTAAATCTAGTCCATTATTCCATCCTGGCTGGAGGCAGAAATTTACAGCTTCCATATTTAACTGGTAGGCTATCACAGTTTGTTTTGGTTCATTTATGAATTATGTATGTACCATACCAATTAAAAGTATAGTTCTGGTCAATCAGTTTCTTAATTTGGTAAAAACTTTGCTTTTACCATGTTATATTCCTCCAAAATTGTATTTATGCATTCACTGAACCCACTAATAATTTCCCCTCAGTGAACAAACTTTTAAAGTAAATTCTTAATAGTATTCCTAATACAATATTTCACATTTCAAAGAATGAATTCCCTTATGCATGACTTTTATGAAGTCATTTTCAATTTCAAGTCTTCTGTACACAGGAGATTGGCACAATCAATAGTTACTGGAGGGAATTAATTTTAAAATAAACAAGTTTGCCTAGTATAATATTGGAGTGGGCAAAAGGAGGTTTACAGTTGTTTGTATGGGAAATAATACAATTAGTAATAATGCAAAAATAAACTGTTTTGTGTACCCACAACTATAACCTACTTTTCTCTAAAGAAATTCACCCTGTATTTCTTAAGTTAATTTCAGTATGTCCTAATAGGGTTTTGAAAGTACATTTTTATGGTTAAACCTGCAGACGTCTCAAACTTGGTATATGTCCAAAACCAAACCCATCTTTCTCGTCCATCAAGTCCGTCCTCTTGTACTTCACCAGCCACCCAGGCTAGAAACCATGCAGTCATTTTCACTTCCCCTTACATCTGGGCGCAGTTCTGTGGATTCACATATAGCAAGACCAGTGACTGTCCCTCCTGCTCTCTAACCCCTACTTTGCATCAAACCAATTGCTCAGACTCTGATCATTTTAAGAGACTTCCAGTTTCTCGCACTTCATTCCAATCTACCCTGCACACTACACATAGTAAACCTCTCTAATTATCAAAATGTCATCTCAGCATTCAAGTATCACTGACAATTAAGTTCCCAGGGACTGACTACAGGGCAATCCAAGTGACACAACATGGCATACAACCAGGCCTCAGTTTACAAATGCTCCTCCAGACTGTTACATTATATTTTAGTCACTTTCCCAGCTGTTCCCTAAGCTACACACTTTTAACATCACTACTGTTTGTTTTTTCTCCTGCCTGTGTTCTTGTAACATTTTGCTCATACTTCAGCATGGCTAGGCAGTCCACCACAGTACAGTTTGTCAGTTCTGTAGAACAGCTTTCACGATTTATTCACATTAAAAACCCCCAAACCAATGCGCCTGAAATACGGTAGCTAAACAATGTACTCTTGGTGATACTCTGCTAATTACTGTAGACGGTATCGATAGCAACGTTTAATTTTTACCCTGAGAGCAAGTTTTAATGTAATAGCTCGAATTAATAATATTTAAGAAAATATAATCATTAAAAAAAACTGCTCAAAAAAGAGGCTGGGAAAGAGAGGGACAGGGAAAGGATAAAAATCAAATGTGTTCATTATTTAGGGTGGAAGATGAGGAATACAGCTAGGAAGAAATTATGAGACCAGCACGTGGCCTCTAAGCTAGAGTCCTAGCTCAAGAAAACACACTTCACCGGCAGCCAAAGATAAGCTAGAAGCAGAACAGCCAAGTGGCCCATCGGTTCCACGCAGTCAGCGTGTGTGACGTCCGCAGAACTACTCACACACTCAAGGTGTTCTGCTTAGAATAACTAGAATCTCGGGCTCCTGGGCGGCTGGGGCTCCGACACCTCACCCTCGAAAAGGCACACCCCAGCTTTTCCTGCAGGACTGAGGGCCCGAGACACGCACCTGGGCGCACCTGCCAGGGATGGGAAGCGCTAGGCGGAGAAGCGGCGGGGAAAATGGAAAGGCTGGTGCTTAAGGCGTTGGGGAGATGGGGTGACTGATTTCAATTAAGCAAGTAATTGGGAACCTGATCCTGAGGATGCGGCAATGCAGAAACACAAGGTCTCTGCCCTCGTGGTGTGACTCTCGAAATCGCTGCGGAAACGCGACCGCTCCGGGCTGGGAAGGGGGCGGGGCCCCGTATTTCCCTCCATTCCCTGGAGCCACCTGCTTTCTGACAAGGGGCGTCGTAGCCGCAGGTAACCCTCCAACTCCAGCTCGGGCCTCCTCTGTGACCCCGTGGCCAGGACGGTCCCCTTTGGTTCTCACCGAATCCTTTAATGAGCTCGGTGAAGACCCCGGGGTCGCTTTCCATGAGGCACCACTCCCCGGCATTGCCCGTCATGGCCCCGGCCAAACACCGTCCCGCACAACCTCGGACGCTGGCCGGCCGGGCACCCGATGCCGCTGGCCACTGATCTCCGCGAACCCGCCGCGGAGCTGGTCAACTCACGTCACCCCGCCTACTTCCCGACAGCCTCCGGGTGCCGTCCCCAGCAATGCCCCGGGCGCAGGAAGACGCTCTAGCCACCCAGGAACCAGAGAAACTCGTCCCGGGCTGTGCTGGACCCGTCAAGCTTTCGGAAGGGGCGGGCCCTGAGATAAGGGGCGGGGCTTCCGGGCGCCGGAGCAGGCTGCATCCGGGACCCTCGCCAGTCCGGAGCAAGGGCGAACCAGTTGAGAGGGGCGTGGCTCGTTCCCGAGAGCCCGAGGTGGAGGCCCGGGCTGCGCGGCGGCGGCGGCGTGGGGGGTCCAAGCAGTCTGCGCCGTGAGGCCGCCGTGTTTTGTCGTTTCCCCGCGCTGAGCAGGGCTCTCCCGTTGGCGCTGAGGATCGGAGGGCCGGCGCCGAGCACAGGTGAGGAAACTACGGGAGGCCCGCGGGGGCCCTTTGTGCAGTGTGCGTGACTCCCTTGGCGCGCAGGCCCTGGTCGGCCCTCCGGGTCCCTCACCCCGCATCTTTGTCGGAGGCCGAGGAGACGCGTCTTTGTCGGTCTTCTCCGCCTCTGCACCCTTCTAGGCCGCGGAGCGGACCCGGCACAGCTGTGGGACATCCTCCCTCGGCAGGGCCTGAGCCCCCCGCCGGCAGGTCCCGGAGGGCCCGACTTCCTCCTGCGCCGCTTACTCCTCCTGTTCCTTTTGCGACCTCCTCCCAGCCGCGTTGCCGGCAGTAGGCTCGGGAAGAAGCATCTTTGTGGGAAGACGAGGCGGCTTTATCCCAGGGGGAATGAGGGGAGAGGGGGAGTCGGGGGCAGACGTGCCCCCTGGGTCTCCTGGGTGGTGGACAAGATAAGGGGACGCCTCCGAGGGAAAGGAGGTTGCAAAGAGGTACCATGTTGACCTGAAAGCATTTGTAATGGTTTCAAGATTGAATGATGAGCTAAACCCAAAATGGCCATTTTCGCGAAATCGCCTTCATTCAACAGGCTCTTGCAGAACACTCGTGTTGAGGTGCACGTCCTTCAGAGCACATTTATGCACGGGGAATATAGTCACTAATGACTGTGTATGGTTTTAGGTGGGTACCGGAAACACGAGGGGGACACTTGGCAACGTATAGGATTGTCTAACCCTGTGCTGTACACCTGAAACAATTAAGAGAGCATTAAATGTCGATTGTAACTGGGGGAAAAAAAGTTTTTATTTGTTTATTTATTTATTTATGCATCACTCTTTAAACCTTTCGAGTTCCAAGAGGAACCTTTGGCTTCCAGGAAAAATGTTATAGTGCGTAAAACTCAGATTGCTGGCTCCTCAGACAACCTGCATCCTGGCATTATAGTGAGCTTTGCACTATAAGAAGGCATGAAATAAGCATGTTAAATTTTACTGAGAAACAACCAAACGGATTTTATATTGAAAGAAACATGGGTGTAATGTGGGGTAGAAGCCGAATTTTGTATCAAGAGTCTGATTTTGTCTTAATATTTTATTTACTTTTAGTGGAAGAGAGGGAGAGAAACATTTATCAGTTGCCTCTCATACGCGCCCATACAGGGACCCAGCCTGCGACCCAGGTATGTGCCCTGACTGGGAATAGAACCGGAGACCTTGAGGTTCACAGGCCAGTGCTCCATCTACTGAGCCACACCCGCCAGGGCTCCAGTGTCTGATTTAAAAAAAAAAAAAGAAAGATGGAGCATTTTTGAGGTTTGTCCCTGGGAGTCTGCCCTTTCACTGGAAGATGCCAGTTAACTCTCTGCCATGTAAATTGATTTTTAATGGAAAATTCGTGAGGTGCAGAGGTCTGGCTTATATTCTTAGGAACCATACTGAGAATGAGTGTTCTCAGACCCCAGGGCTGTTGGCGGTCCTTGGTGGTATTGCTGCTGTGGTTTTGAAAGTGTATTCTATGCTAAAACCATCAAAACTACAAGTTAACATGGTGCCTGTAGAAGAAAGACCAAACTGAAAATTTAGCTGTTGACACAAACTGAAAATAATCAGAAAGTGGGTTTAAAATTTCTTTAATTTTGTTAACATTTAATCTTAAGAGTTCGTGTAAAAAATCCAGAGTTCTGGGTCTTTGAGAAAAAAATTGGAAAGATCTGGCAATATTGGGCCTGTAGCACAAGGCAACCGCCATAAGGGTGGCAGGCTTGGCTTGGTCCAATCATAGCCATTACCAGTCTAAATGATACAGTGCTTTGAATTCGTGGCCAATTTCAAGTTGTGGCCCTGCTTTTAATAATATTGAGATGTCTAGTTTCTTCCAAAAACTTTAATTTATAGAAGTTTAATACATTTAGCGGTATTAAATTCTTTGCAGTGGCTCCCTCAATTTTTTTTATTTCCTTCTCATGCAAATCTATGGGCCACCTGCAGCCTTCACCCTTAATGAGAGAGGTAGCAGTCAGTGGGCCAGTCTCCACCTGCATGCTGTAGAGCTCATTCTGTCCCTTCTCTTTTTGGGGCTCACTCCCTTCGCCGTGCCCTTTCTTTAAAGCTGCACTTCTGTAAGGGAGTCATTTGTTTACCTGTGAAGTCTTTCACCCGGCAGCCCTGCCCTCCTCTTTTCACTGGAACCACTCTGGCATTTTTCTTTCCTCATCATCCTGTTTGCCAAAGCCAGTGATCCTTTTCTAGCTTTATTTTGCTTGCTCTCTGAGCATTTGACATTCCCAGCCATTCACTGCTGCAAATTCTCCCTGTGGTCCATGATGCCATTCTCCTGCTTTTAAGTCTGTGTGCCCCTCCTTCTCTTTCTACTCTAAAGGACTTTTTCTCCCTAGCTCTTTTATTATCCTCACCTGAGGGCACACTTATTAATTTTATTGATTTTAGAGAGAGGGGAAAAAGAGAGAGAGAGAGAAACATTGATCAGTTGCCTCTTGTTCACGCCCTAACTGAACCTACAACATAGGTAGGTGCCCTGACTGGGAATTGAACCTACAACCTTTTGGTTTATGGGATGACTCTTTAACCAACTGAGCCACACCAGCCAGGCCTTCTCCCTAGCTCTTAACTCTTAATATTCACCAGGATTCTACACAATATATGAACATGCTCAAGCTTTCATCACCTTGAAAACAAAACCCCTCTCTAAGCTACTGCCTTATCTGTCATCATTTCTTTACAGCCCTGCCAGTATAATTAGTTCCTTTACTAAAGTGTAAAGACACAGCACAAGATTTCAGGAACCTTTTTCTGGAATGCCTGTCCCCAAACTTTCTGTGGCAGTTTTTCAGTTTGTCTTCTCTGCAGAAGCCTTCCCAGATTATTGAGACAGCATTATTTTATAGCCCTGTTCATTCATCAGACCTTTAATTTTTCATCAGACATTTAATTACAGTTTGTTTTGAATTGTGTATGTATTTGTACTTAACAACATAGAATGTGACTTCCCTGAGGACAGGAAAAAAATTTTTAATCTTTTAATGGAACAGAATCTTCCTGTCTTGCCCATAGTATGCAGTAGTATTGGTTGGGGTTTTTTGTTTGTCATGTTGTATTTTGTGTGCCATGGGGAGAGCCAGGCACTGTAATGGAATGAATAGGCAGGTGCTTGAGGCTTGTGGATAAACAGCTACCCTGAGTAAAAGCAGTGCAGAGGGATAAAGTGAGGGATTGGGGTTGCTGACAGCTAATTCTAGTAGCTTTGCCAGCAGGCTTAACCATGCCACACTGTCCAGGTTGTGATTCGTACCCAGTGCCTATACCAGTCACATGGCAAAAGAGTTGAGGCTATCACCTGGGAACCTGTGATAAATACAGATATTTAGGCCTCACCCCAGACTGCACTAAGAAAGAAACTATAAGGGGGTGGTTGGGGTCCACTAGTGTGTGTGTGTGTGTGTGTGTGTAAAGATTTTAATTTTAGAGAGGGGGGAAGGGAGGGAGAAAGAGAGGGTGAGAAACCAATCCATCAAGGGTTGCCTCTGTTATCCAGGCATATGCCCTGACCAGGAATTGAACGGGTGACTTTTTGTTTTGTGGGACGACACCCAACCCACTGAGCCACACTAGTCAGGGCCATTCTGTTTTTTAACTAGCACTGAAAGTAGTGTTGGTGCACACACAGTTTGCAAACCACTAGCTAAGGGCAATCAAGGGGCTCTGGGCAGGGCTGGCCTCCCCTGAAGGACATTGCTGCCAGGAAGAGGTCAGGAGGGGGTGGGAGTTGGTTAGAAATGGGTGCAGGTTATACAACCAAAAATGTCTACTGAATTACTCAGGAATAAAGATCCTGAGATCTTAGGGTCAGCTATTGTTCCTGCCATCCCTACCCCTTTTTTGCTCCATCTGGGCCTCCAGACCCTGATTCTGAGCTGCTTGCTGAGTCTCTGGGGCAACAAACTGTGTCTCAGAAGTGTGACTTCTTCGTTATTGCTTCTGATTATCGTATCACCACTTACTGAGCTTAAAAAATATTTGTAAATCAAAAAATTTCATGGCAGATTTCAATAAGCATAGATTTATATTTTCCTTTTTTATATTTTTACTGTGTCAATCTACCAGGTAACATTTTGCTTTTTGACAGGTTTCCTAAAAGACAAAAATGGGTGACTCAGTAAACCAATTGCAGCCGCTTAATGAGAAGCAGATAGCCAATTCAGAAGGTGGATATGTATGGCAAGTCACGGATATGAATCGCCTACACCGGTTTCTATGTTTTGGTTCTGAAGGTGGGACTTACTATATCAAAGAACAGAAGTTGGGCCTTGAAAATGCTGAAGCTTTAATCAGATTGATTGAAGACGGCAGAGGGTGTGAAGTGATACAGGAGATCAAGTCATTTAGTCAGGAAGGCAAAACCGTGAAGCAGGAGCCCATGCTCTTTGCGCTGGCCATTTGCTCCCAGTGTTCCGACTTGAGCACAAAGCAAGCCGCCTTTAAGGCTGTTGGTGAAGTCTGTCGCATTCCTACGCATCTCTTCACTTTCATCCAGTTTAAGAAAGACCTGAAGGAAAGCATGAAATGTGGCATGTGGGGTCGTGCCCTGCGGAAGGCTGTCGCAGACTGGTACAATGGAAAGGGTGGGATGGCCCTTGCTCTGGCTGTGACAAAATACAAACAGAGAAACGGCTGGTCTCACAAAGATCTGCTAAGACTGTCGCATCTTAAACCCTCCAATGAAGGTAAGATAATGTCTTTGGGCAGGGTGCAGATATCCAATAAATAACACATTTATTTGACATAAGACAATTGTATAGTATTTTCTAGAAACACCCTTTCATTCTCAACACAGTAGATTAACTAATTAGTAGATTAACTAATTCAAATATGTTTAATGCCGGCCTGGAATTAAAATACCTACCACAGGCAATCCAGACATGAACAATGAAGAATCAAATGACAGATTTACAGGTTGATCTTCTGCATCCTAAAATGTCACGTGCTGACTGGGATGCCCATCCAAGTGACTGTGGACTCTGACAGCAGCCTGGAGGTGTTCAGTTGTTGTGAGCAGCGTAGCTGTGAGCCAGTAGATGGCAGATAGCCGGGCTCTGTAGCCCCTTCTCATTTGTTCCCTCTCTGCCCTCCTTTTTTTTTCAAGTTGGGAAAACAAAGTAGAAGACATGCTCACGTGAAACATTTAGTTACCTAAGAAAATGTAAGATTTTGCAGTAAAATTTTGAAAGATAGCAAAAGTCACAATACTTTAGAAGTTTCTGCGTATTAGTTAACTCTCAGATTTTTAAGTCAGAGTTCAGAAATGGCACATGAGCTCAGTTTGTCTTAGAGATGTGTTTTATTTGACCTACAAAATATTTTAGGGCAAAATGAATTCCTTACCAATGTCACATAAAGTAAATCAGACGATATCACACAAAAGTCTATTTCCTGGTTTCTTTTGAAAATATATTTTTGGGGGCAGTGCTAAGCAAATACTCAGCTAAAATATTTGTCAGGGCATAGACTCTTGGGATTACCCCATTCCTGACCACTCTTGATCACATCATGTGCCCAGCTTGATTATTTATTTTGCCCACCTTTTCTCCGTAGACTTTCAAATTTGGTAATTCCTTTCCTCTTGCCTCTTTTTCCAGAAGTGGAAAGTAAGGCCTAGATCAGTGTGGTCACATACCATTCATTGCCAGAGCTTAGGCTACAACTCACATTTTCTCAGCCTCCCCCTCCTCAATCCAAGCTCTTTTGACTATTAAAATAAATCACAGAAGAAAGCACATTATTTTTCTTGTTTAAAATTCGGCCTATATCCCTGGCTGATGGATTGAGTGCCAGCCTGCGAACCAAAGGGCTGCAGGTTTGAGTCTCAGTCAGGACACATGCTGGGGTTATAGCCAGGTTCCCAACTGGGGGCATGCAAGAGGCAATGTAACCACACATCGATGTTTCTGTCCCTCTCTCCTTTCCTATCCCTCTCTCTAAAAATAAAGTGTTTTTTAAAAATTCGGCCTATAATACTTTCTTGGCTACTAAAAAAAATTATAAATTGCCTACCTACCTGTCCACATATACTTACCTCTTTCATTCATACATGTGTAATTATCCACTGAAAGGGACAATTGAATATGAAATTAATTGAGCTAGATCTGTTCTTTGAAGAGTTGTTCTGAGATTATGTTCCTAAAATAAGCCCTGTCTACCAAATTGCTAACGCTGGTGTCTCCCAAAATAAAGCTCTACAATAAAATGAAAATATAGTAGTTTTATTTCCAAAGTTTCATATTGAAACCCTGATGGAATAAGCCGAGTTAATTGACCGTTTGTTCAAGTATTTGTCATATCCTGGAAAACAGCATCACAGGTTAAAGAAGTTAATCCCTAAATACCTACTTATGCCTTTCACATAGGGCGATCTCAGTAAACATGTTTTTTTTTACCTGCTAATCCTCTGTCTTTTTGATTGTTTTGTTAAAGGTCTTGCTATTGTGACCAAATATATTACTAAGGGCTGGAAAGAGGTCCAGGAATTGTATAAAGACAAAGCACTTTCTGTAGAGACTGAAAAATTATTAAAGTATCTGGAGGCTGTAGAGAAGGTGAAGCGCACGAAAGATGAACTGGAAGTCATCCACCTGATAGAGGAGCACAGGTTGGTTAGGGAACACCTTCTGACAAGTCACTTAAAGTCCAAAGAGGTGAGTAAGGTAGGGTATGTTAATAGTGTGTGGTTGAACTGATTTATGATATATCAAAAAGATAAACTTTGGGTGACTATATATCCATTAATTATCAGAAATATTTTAAGTATATTTTTAATTGATGTTTACTTCAGACATCTAATGAAGTGCCCAAATGCAGTTAGCATTCAGTAAATGTTAAAGAACAAGTTAGTTTATTTGATAAAACTTTGACCAATTCACAAAAATTTATATTTAGAAAGTACTCTGAAACTCAAAAGAAAGCCTTGGAAAATATGTGGTTAATATTATCATTGGTACGTTATACTGATTTTTAACTCCTGATGTTTCTGCCTTTGTTACTGCAACAGGTGTGGAAAGCTTTGTTACAAGAAATGCCTCTTACTGCGCTACTAAGAAATCTAGGAAAGATGACTGCTAATTCAGTGCTTGAGCCAGGAAATTCAGAAGTATCTTTAGTATGTGAGAAGCTATGTAATGACAAACTGTTAAAAAAGGTAAGTATTACCTTTATTAGCTACTACTAATTGAAAACTTTGACTCCTAATTTTGGAAATGCAGTTAGCGTGTTATAGGTGTTCTGAGACTTATTGTACCAAATTGCGTTTTGACTCTGAAATCTAAGATTAATATGTCCTCATCTTTTTTCTTTATGAAATACATCAGCTACAATAACAAATGTAATTACTAGTTTTCATTTGAATTTTGCATTTACTAGTTGGTCCGAAGGTTGTAGTTGTTCAGCTTAATTTTGCATTTACTTTCTGTCTTTGTCTTATTTCTAGGCTCGTATACATCCATTTCATATTTTAGTTGCATTAGAAACTTACAAAACAGGTCATGGGCTCAGAGGAAAACTGAAGTGGCGCCCTGATGATGAAATTTTGAAAGCTTTGGATGCTGCCTTTTACAAAACATTTAAGGTAATGGTTTGATTTTTGTTTTAAAACAAATGAGCCATTTACATAGGACTCTGTATTTTCTGGAAGGGAGGGAGGGAAGGAATTAATTATCCTCACCCAAGGAATGCTTACTGTTTTTGGAGAGAGGAAGGAAAGGAGGGAAACATTGATGTGAGAGAGAAACATCAACCAGTTGCCTTTCGTACCCACAGTGACTAGGGACCGAACCTGTAACCCAAGCATGTGCCCTGACTGTGAATCAAATCTGTGACCCTTCAGTTTACAGGACAATGCTCCAAACAACTGATCCACACTGGCCAGGGCTGTAAAAAAGAAAATTCTTTGAAGATATTAATAGTTTGACTATTTTAATGTGATACGTACTTGTTTTTTCTTAGTTCACATAAAGGTGGATATATAAATAACATTGTAAGTTTATGAGTAAAGTATTTCTTTCTACTTTTGGGCAATACCCATTATCCTAAGATTGTTTTGATAAGAAATTACCAGATTTAAAATTTTGCATTATTGTAGAGTCCTTGACTTGGTCCTGTGTTGTTTTTCCTGTTAATCAGTAGTGTATCTCCTACATCTTGATAAGTGATTTTAGGGCTGAAAATCCTGCTTCAGGGCCATAGTTAAAATTTTACATTTAAAAAATTTCTTGCTATTCAACGAAATGCTAACCAAATTCAGCAGCATATTGAAGGGATGTACAAGTGAGATTTATCCTCAGCATGCAAGGATGGTTCAATATATGAAAATGAATCAGTGTATTCAAATAAAATAAAGTAATAACTGTATGATCATCTCAGTTGCAGAAAAGCATCTGACAATTCAATACCCTTCCATGATTTAAAAAAATGTACTCAATAAATGAGGAATGGAAGTGATTTCCTTACCATGATAAGGGCCATGAATAAAAAACACAGCTCTCATTATACACAATGATGAAAGATGAAATCTTTTCTCCTAAGATCAAGAGCAAGGTAAAGATGCCCACTTTTCCACCTAAATTCTACAAAAAGTTTGGCAAGAAAAAATATAAAAGGCATCCAAATTGGAAAGAAAGAAAAATTACCTCTGTTCTCAGATGCCATGATCATAATTATACAAACCCAAAACAATCCATAAGAAACTTTTAAAAGCTAACAAAATCAGCAAAGATGCAGAATACAAAATCAACAAGCAAAAGTCAGTAATATGTATGTATGCTAGCCCCGAACAATCCAAAGTTAAGAAAACATTTCCATTTACAATAGCATTCAAAAGAATAAAAGACTTAGGAATTTAACTATGAATATGGGAGACTTATACCCTGAAAACTAATAACCACTGCTGAATGAAACTTCATACATAAATGGGAAGACTTAATGCTCCTAAGATGACAACACTACCCAAATTGATCTGCAGCAATAGACTCTTAAATATGACACCAAAAGCACAGGCAAAAAAGAAAAAGTAAACTGGACTTTATCAAAATTTAAATCTTCGATGCATCAAAGGACATTAAAAGTGAAAAGAAAACCTACAGAATAGAAAGTATTTGCCTATCATATATCTGATTGGGCTTTAATACTCAGAATATATATAAAGAGTCACAACAGTAAAAATACACAGAACCCATTTCAAAAATGGGCAAAGAGCTTGAATAAACATTTCTCCAAAGAAGATATACAGATGGCCAGTAAGCACATAAAACAATGTCAACATCACTGGTCATTAAGGGAATGCAGATTAATACCACATGAGATACCACTTCATACTTGCTGGATGGCTTTTACCAAAAAAGCAGTAATAAGTGAGAATTGAAGCCGTAGTGTATTCCTGGTGGGAATGTAAAATGATGCAGCCCTGTGGAAAACAGTTTGGCTGTTCTTCAAAAAGTTAAATGTTGAATTACCATACCATCCAGCTATTCCACCACGTATGTATACACCCAAAAGAACTGAGAACAGGAACTCAGATACTTGTACACAGATGTTCATAGGAGAATTGTTCACAACAGCCAACAGGTAAAAACCACCCACGTGCCCATCAGCAGGTGAGTGGATAAACAAAATGTGGTGGTAGTCAGCCTTACAAAGGAATGGAATTAGAAACATGCCACGACGTGGATGAACCTTGAAAACTATGCTAAGTGAAATAAGCCTGGCACAAGAAGACAAATATTACATGATTTCACTATATGAGGTATCTAGAGTAGGCAAATCCATAGAAACAGAGGGAAAATAGAACTTGCCAGGGACTGGAAGGAGGTAAGAATGGGTATAGGTTTTTTATTTGGGATGATGAAAAGGTTCCGGAAGTAGATAATGGTGGTTACGTAACACTGCGAATGAACTTAAGGTCACCGACTGTGCAATTAGAAATGATTAAAAAGTAGTTTTGGCTGGTATGGCTCAGTGGATTGAGCACCACCTTGCAACCTGAAAAATGATTAACAAGTAAATTTGATGGTTTTTAAAAATACTTTCCCCCCAAAAAATATTGATAGAAATTCCTAGTTTATTTCTGAAGAAAAAGATTTTTTTTTAAACAGAAAGATGGTAACTTGTGTAAATAAAATTATTGAGTAGGTTATCTTACTTTTTGTCTTTTACCTCTAGTAGAAGCTAAACATTTTTTTAAAACATTTTATTTATCTTTAGAGGAGAAGGGAAGGAGAGTGGGAGAGAAATATCAATGTATGGTTGCCTCTTGTGCGTCCCCTGCTGGGAATTGAACCTTGATCCTCTGGTTTACAGGCCTGCAGTCAATCCACTGAGCTACACTAGCCAGGGCTAAACATTTTTTGAGTAAATTTTTCTATCACAATTTACATTTGGTGTGATTTTGTGTTAATTTCAGGTGTATTGCACAGTGGTTAGACAATTCATATACGTTACAAAGTGTTCCCCTAATATTTCCAGTACCCACCTGGCACCATACATAATTATTTCAAAGCTAAGCATTTTGAAACACTTCTCAATTAATTGGCAAATCAGAAATGAGGCCTTTTATGTGAAATTTTTAAATGAAGGATAGGTCAGTAATATGATTTGCTAGAAATATATTCTACTTAAAATTTCTGTGATTGCTTTTAGTGATTGTTTCATTTTGTTTTCTCTTTAGACAGTGGAGCCAACTGGGAAGCGTTTCTTGCTGGCTGTTGACGTCAGTGCTTCTATGAATCAGAGGGTTCTGGGGAGTGTCCTCAATGCCAGCACTGTTGCTGCAGCGATGTGCATGGTGAGAGCACCGGAGGCAGTTTGAAGCTTCTGCCACCCTGGGAAGATGTTACTGTGGGGCAGAAATGTACACTTAAATGTGGCCAGGAATTAGGCTTTCACTAGTTTTCGTCCATTTGGCATATTTTAATTTTATGTAAATGCCCTTTTGTATCATAAATAAGTAGAGTTTTAAGTATATCGTGCATAAACGGGGTCCAGAACAAATACTTTTTTTTATTACAAAATCCTAAGCATGTTATTCTGTAATAGAAAAATGTCACACTCAAGCACACCATTTGTCATTTTAGGTAAACTGTTCAAATTAAAGCTATAAATTGTTACACCCATATTTTCACCCTACAAACCACACTCAAGCAAGCTGCCAGACGCTGTGTATATTTTTGGGTGTACTTACATAGTTACATAGATTTATATAGTTAGGTAAAGACAGTATAGGTATATTGAAAAAGCATATCTAAAGAACAGTTAAATTTTGATTTTACAACTAAAGATTGAATATTTTTGAGGAAGAAGAGAATATTTAGAGAAATTGTCAATGATTAGAGATGCAGAGATCTGGAACTAGTAACAACAGTAAGGAGACTTAGGTTCCAGGCTCACTGTCACTGAGTAGCAGTTAAATGAGCCATAGACGAGATTTCATAACTTCTCTTCTGTGGCTTCTTCCTCGTTTGTGAGAGTTTGTGAGGGTTTGTAAAAGTACTTTGAAAGCTATCCTACAGTTCCAAAACACAGTGTGAGTGCAGAAATAAAATAAGCATCATGACACATTCCCTTTATAGATGAAGTTTTATGCACTTCAGGATACTGTATTTATGTCTCCCAAATCTGCTGACAATTACTGCCATTGAATTTTTCAGGTTGTCACACGAACAGAAAAAGATTCTCATATAGTTGCTTTTTCAAATGAAATGGTACCATGTCCTGTAACTACAGATATGACTTTGCAACAGGTTTTAATGGCTATGAATCAGGTAAAAAATGATTTAATTAAGCTTACTTAATGTATATTACCCAGTGATTTTGCTATTGATATTATACATGGTATTAATAAATTTGTAAGTTCAAATTGTTTTATCTCAATTTTCTCATAAGCATAAAATAAATTTATACAGGGTTTGTGAATGCCTTTGTATTCATTCTAAACAAAATGACTATGTAAAAAATAGCACTTTTAATTATAAGTGTTTTATTATTCAGACATATCATTATAGAAGTAGCCTCATTTATTCCTTCTCATGTTTTATTCTGATTTAGATGCCAGCAGGTGGGACTGATTGCTCTCTTCCAATGATCTGGGCTCAGAAGACAAACACAGCTGCTGACGTGTTCATTGTGTTCACTGACAACGAGACCTTTGTTGGGAATGTCCACCCAGCTGTTGCTCTGAGGCAGTATCGAAAGGTAAGACAAATTCTAGTATTCTTTCTCACTCCGAACAAGGCCCAGTTCTCAAACATTCACTGTTTTTCCAAAAGGAAGATACTGACACTATACAGTGCCAGTACTGGACTCAGCAGTACTTAAAATAAGAAAGATTGGCTACACGTACATAATTTATTTCCACCAGTTTCAATTCTATAAGTAATAAAAATATCCTTTATAAATGATATTTTTTAAGCAGAACATTTCTTTTACCATAACTATGTTTTAATGATTCCTTGTGTTCCTTGAAAAATTAAAGTATTCCCCTGCCTTTTGTAGCTCAGTGGATTGAGCGTGGACCTGCGAACCAAAGGATCGAGGTTCGATTCCCAGTCAGGGCACATGCCTAGGTTGTAGACCAGTTCCCAGCAGGGGATGCACGAGAGGCAATCGTACACCGATATTTCTCTCCCTCTCTCTTTCCCTTCCCCTCTAAAGATAAATAAAATCTTTTGAAAAATATTTTTTAAAAAAAGGAAAAAAAGTATCATTTGTGAGGTTTGTTAAGGGACTACATAAAATTAAAGCAAAGCTATAATCTGTGTTTTAAGGTATATGGCTATTTCTGTGTTCTAATCAGTGCTCTCCAGTTGAGGTTTCTGAAGTGACGGTAACGTTTTATATTCACAATATCTTTTTTTTAAAATTTTTTTATTGATTATGCTGTTACAGTTGTTCTATTTCCCCCCTTTATTCCCCTCCACACTACCCCCCCGTCCCCACCATTACCCCCCCTTTAGTTTATGACCATGTGTCTCAAGTTCTTTAGATTCTATATTTCCCATGCTATTCTTGCCCCCCCATCTATTTTCTATCTACTGTCTATGCTACTTATTTTCTGTACCTTCTCCCCCCTTCTCCTCCTCCCACTCCCCTGTTGCTAACCCTCCTTGAGATCTTCATTTCTATGTTTCCACTCCTGATCTAGCTGTCCTTTTAGTTTGCTTCTGTTTTAGGTGTGGTTGTTAATAACTGTGAGTTTGCTGTCCTTTCACTGTTCATGTTTCTTTAACTTCTTTTTCTTAGATAAGTCCCTTTAACATTTCATATAATAAGGGCTTGGTGATGATGAACTGCTTGAATTTGATCTTATCTGAGAAGCACTTTATCTGCCCTTCCATTCTAAATGAAAGTTTTGCTGGATAGAGCAATCTTGGTTGTAGGTCTTTGGATTTCATGACTTGGAATACCTCTTTCCAGCCCCTTCTTGCCTGTAAGGTCTCTTTTGAGAAATCCGCTGACAGTCTGATGGGGACTCCTTTGTAGGTGACTGTCCCCTTAGCTCTTGCCGCTTCTAGGATTCTCTCCTTCATTTTAATTTTGGCTAATGTAATGATGATGTGCCTTGGTGTGTTCCTTCTTGGGTCCAACTTCTTTGGGACTCTCTGAGCTTCCTGGATTTCCTGGAAGTCTATTTCCTTTGCCAGATTGGGGAAATTCTCCTTTATTATTTGTTCAAATAAGTTTTCCACTGGTGGCTGTGCCTTTCCCCCTTCTGGTACCCCTATAATTCGGATGTTGGAGCTTTAAAGATGTCCTGGAGGTTCCTAAGACTCTCCTCATTTCTTTGAATTCTTGCTTCTTGACTCTTTTCTGTTTGGCCATTATTTGCTTTCTTCTGGTCCACTCCATTGATTCGAGTCCCAGTTTCCTTTTCATTGTTATTGGTTTCCTGTGCAATTCCATTCATTTCAATTAGTTTCGCCTTCATATATTTGTCTAATATATGGCAAATATATTTGTCTAATATATTTGTCTAATTTGTGGCTCTGTGTTCTGGCTGTGTTTTCTGTTGCTAATATTTAGTTGTCTCTAAACTTGGTTGTGTGAGAAGGCACGGCGTTTCCACCTATTCCTCCATCTTGGCGGAAGTTGGCTATATTCACAATATCTAATACGGTAGCCACTAGTCATGTGGGCTGCTGAGCTCTTGAATTGTAGCTAATATGACTGTCAGTAGAAATGGAACTTGATGAGGAGCAGTGGTTCCCAAAGTGTGGTTTCCCTACTGAGCAGCCTTAGCATTACCCAGCACCTTATTAGGAGTGCACATTCCAGGACCCCAAGGGAGCCCTGTCAAGGCAGAAACTCTGGGGTGGGACTGCTTCACAAGCTCTTTGAGACCAAGTGAGAGAACAGAATTGGGGGTTAAGAGAGCCTGGGTTCTGAATCCTGTGAAATGTACATATTATACACAGCGAAGTTAATAATCCCAGAGGAATATTTTCCTGTGTTTATTCCACCTCCAGTACACTGCCCCAGTGTGTGATATGTTGGGAAAAAAATCTAATGCCTCCGAATATGTTTACAGGTTTGATAAGTATAGAGTCTCCAGGCTGCTCAGGAATGTATTCTGTGGCCCACAGAACAAGTGATATAGAACAGAGAAGCAGGAATTTCAGGCAGGCCGTCCACAAAATTTTATTTTCTAGTCTTCTGAAGATCATATCTAGCCCTGAAAGATTGACAAATTTTATGTAGAGAAAAAATGAAAAGAACTTTGTAATGAAAAGCTGAGGTAGAGTTTTAAGTTTTAATTTTGGAGGTTATTTGCTTTTGCTTTCATGTAATTTTTTTACTATGTATTTTGATCTTTACTTACAGAAAATGGATATTCCAGCTAAATTGATTGTTTGTGGAATGACATCAAATGGTTTCACCATTGCTGACCCAGATGACAGAGGCATGTTGGATATGTGTGGGTTTGACACTGGAGCTCTGGATGTCATTCGAAACTTCACACTAGATATCATTTAACCATAAGCACCAGCATGATTCAGGTGGCCCGTTGCCATTGGTAATCTCACTGCAGACATGCAGCTACTTCCCAGCTCATCTGAATCCCGTGGAAGATGTGAAAATGATGGCGTAGTATGTGTATAATGGAAAGTTGACCTTACCAAAAAAAAAGAAAAAAGAAGGAAGGAAAAAATAGATAAGCCCAAAGTTCTTTCTGTCTGTTAAATAGCAGCTGGGAAGTAGCTTCAGAATACACTGCAGTTCCCTCTAATAGAGAACTTCTTCTTGATCAACACTGTAAACTGTCCAGCAGGTTAGCTTTGGTAAATAATCACATTTGTATTTAAAAGAAGAGCCAAATTTGTAAGTAGTTCCATATCATGTCACTTACTGAAAAGTACTTAAAAGTTTTCTTAATGTTTTCACTGGGAGGGGACAGCTTTGATCATGTCCACATTCTCTGAAGTGCACTGGACCACGTAACTGTGACAGCACATCTGACTCCTCTGTACACTTTATACCAAGGGGCTTAAACAGAAACCAAGCTGGTTCGTTAAATTATGAGTGGGTTTTCACAAATTCCTTTAAGAGTTTTCTAAGATCACATAAATAGCTTTCTTATTCAGTGAAAAATACTTTGTTTTTGTTCTATTTACTCTTATAAAATTATTACCATTAACCAGAAACATAACTGAAGTTCCTGGGAACGGGACTCCAAAGTGTAAGTCAGCCGAGGAAGTCTCTTGGGATTGTTTCATTTATTTTGGTATATTTTACTGCTGTGACTTGAGGGTGTGACTTGACAGTATCCTCCGAGTCATGGCAACATAGCCACACAGTCATACTTTCTTTTTTTATATCCTTAGGTGAAAACAACAGAAAGTTGTTTTAACTCATTCATTCATAATCTGAAAGTATGACAAAATCTCCATTATAATCTGATTAGCTTTTTCCTTACTGTAAAATATTGCTCTGATTTCTTTTAACTATTTTTTTTAGCCCAATTGTAAACAGATTTTAGATATTTTCTAATTGTAAACATGTCAACGGCCTCTTTGTTATTCATTGTGGCAAGACATTCTTTTTTGATAGAGTAAAAAGTAATAATAAAGCTAGGTCTTTCAGGTTTGAAAGGCCCATTTTGAGTAGTGTGTTACCACTAACCAGTCTGTAAGAAAGTATTTTTTTCTACTTTGTGTGTATTAAACTTCTTTTCATTACGCTGAAGTGCATTATTTTCTTGAGCAGACACCCCTTCTTTGTGGGCAGGTTGAACCTGTTCAGATACCAGTTCCTTTGCTTATATCATGGTTGTCTAACTTACACAAAACTTTAATGTTTATGTATTCTTTAAATAGTAATTGAGAATTTATGTAGGATTTTAATAAATCCCTTATCGCTTACATAAAAAGGCAGACCAGTAAATGTAAATTGCAGTCTTATGTGCTTGGTTAAACCAGAGGGTTTGTGTTTTGGGTTTAGGGGGAGTTTAGTTGTGTTAGAATTTGTGTAGGTACTATGTTCTTTTTCATGAGAAACTTGGGCTCTGGGGGTAACAAGAAAATGTTCCTTTTAGACTTATTTGATACATTAATGCTAGCTCTGATATGTAGGCTTCAAGGAAACATAGCAACTTGTAAATGTTATGATTTACCTGAGGCTTTTGGGTCAGCACAATTAGTAGCAACCTTCTCCCAACCAAAAAAACATTGTTTCAGATGTCATTTTGTATTTAATCCTCTATCAGACACCGGGTTTTAACATCTTAACTGTTGGTATAAAGAATCTAATAGAATTGGGTTACAGTTCTGGAACTCTATGCAAATCCAAGATCTTCTTAATTTAAAAATCATAAAATATTCTAACTTTGTATTTCTAATGGAAATAAAAGTATACTTCCTTCAGTTATATGCCCTTCCCATAGTATTTTTAGACAGATATATTCAGGAATATTCATTATATTCTTAATACTAAATCAGAGAAGTAAGGTTAGATGTGACCTTTTTGAAGTATTTAGGTTAGTTGAATTAAATGGATGAGAATATATAATTTAAGAAGGAAGGAAGAAAACTAAAAGGTGCTGCAGAAGGTACTTTTATTTTCAAATTTTGGAATTTTAGAGCTTAAACCTTTGAAATGTAAAAGGTGATTTTTTTTTTTTTCTTTTTAAAATTTAAGTTAGGGAGATAGGTTCTAAGAAGTGTGGCTTTGGAACACTAGATCTAGAAATTTTCATCCCAATATTCATATCCCCACAAAATGGGAAAACATTGACTTACAAGAGTAGGAGTGAAAACAGAATTATTCAAGACATATTTTTTAGGTATTAAGAAATAATGTATATACATAATTGCTGTAGGAGTAGAAAAATATAGAAACTGTAAACATACTTTTGTAGTTCATTGTAATCCTCAAGCACAATGTCTTAATCTATGTTGCTATATAATACAGTCCTGTAGAAAAATAAAAAACTTCTCATTATGAATAAAATATACTCAAGTGATAAAGAAGTTTTATTTTCTGAGTTACTTTTAGGATTATTGTTACATTAGTATTTAGGGAAATGTTGCTTTAAAAAATCTTAAGAAAAATTAGTAAATTCCTATTTCCTAGAAAATATGTAAATATTTTCAGGATATAGCTGTAATTAGTAAAACAAAAATTAATCTTGAAATTTCTACTCTTGTTAGTTGAAATTCCTCGAAAATTCCATTAATTAACACTCATTATTTAGTGTAGTTTAAGTATTTTATAGGTACGTTGTTGAGGAAGATGTTAGCAAATGGAATTCAGTATAAACCCTCTGGAAATTTTTGGTTTTTCTAACCTACTTTGTGACTGTAGAGCCCAATTTCACCACTATGATTCCGTTTTGTTATTTTTACAGAGTAACATCTGATGATTAGATCATAGGAAAATCATTTTTAATATCTGTATAAAAGTTTAAATTGGGAACAGGGCTTACAATACAGATTAGAACTTAAGAATGTATTTTGAAAGACAAAATGTTTTAGGAAAATAGACTCAATAATTTCTTAAAACACTTCTGAGAGGGAAAAATGGAAGAAAAAATTCCATAGTAAAGGTATTGACTAAGAAGTCACTATTCCCTGATCAAGAGAAAGAGGGGTATATTCCAAGTCCAACACACCCCCTGCCCCCCCACCATGGACCTAGAAAAACAAACTCAATATTCTTATCTAAAAAAAGGAGATGCTATCAACAATCATTTGCTTAATCTTTTAAATGAACAGGTAAATTACAAACGACTGAATACTATTTTATCAGGTGCTTTTTTTCCCCCCTCATTTTGAGATTTTACAAAAAATATAGAATTACTTTGGAAATATAAGGCAAAATTCCTGAATAAATTTGAGGCTCTCTGACAAGTGAGAAACATCTTTAAAAGCACAGTGAAGCTACATCTAAACCACAAAGGGAAATCACTATGATCACTTATTGGGTCAAATTAAAAATAAGGTCTTACAAGTACAAATTTCTTAGTAAGTGAAATGTTTATAGTAAATAATCAAAAACACAGGTTTGGACCAATAATATCCTCTTAGGAAAGTGTCTCATAGCCTCAGTGTAAACATGCACAAAGAAAAATTAGGAAAAAGGATAAGGTAAACTGAGATTAGTTGCATTTAACTGTATGGATTTACTATTTCCCTAATATTAGCTAATCTCTTATTTGTTGGAAGACTACTTTTATACTTCTATTTTTCTTTTAAAAGTCCTGATATCTTTGTCTTCCGTTTTCCTTTTTTCTAGACTTGTTCTACCTCGGTACTAAAATGAAAGGAAAGTTACCCATATTACGGTTTGCGGTGAATTTTATACATTGCATTTTGTTCCATATAGATTTACAGTCATTTTTTTTTTCCAAATTGATAATGGGCAGGCCTTTTGGAACAATATATTGATACAGTCTTTCCCCAAATTCAGTTATGTTGTATACCTTTTGTTAGGTATTTGCATAAATTTTGTGGCCTTTAAGTAAGATCAGTTATTCAGCCTTTGTTTGCAATTACAAACAGACAGACCCAAAGCACTCTTGATCATCACATTTGCAAAACTGAAAGGCCACTGTCGGAATGTTTGGTCTACTAAGTACTTCACTGAGCTTACACACATATGACGACTTGTGGCATAAAAGGTCTTGTAAATAACATATGTTCAACTTCAACAATTTTGGGGATGGGTCAAACCATTTTATTGAGGGTTGAAGGGCTAGGAGGATGAGATCCAATGTGCTCAGCCTGTCTGGAATCGCCCCAACTTCATAGCTGCAGAAAACTTACCTTCACCATTTTTTTAATTGGTGAGCTTTTTATTTGCTTATTAAGTTAATTGTTAAAATAATACTGTGGTAATGTTTTTCATGTAAAAAACTAATAATGGAGTGAAGCATACTATTTTAATAAAATTCTAATAAATAACATTTCTATAAACCCTGAAAAGACCAAATTATGTAGAAATTGGTAGAAACATAAACTAGAGGAATTTTGTTTAAAAATTGTATTACTGAAGTTAAGGTGATAATTTTCAGTGAGAATCAATTTTGTAAATACAGAAAAATGAAAATACACAAAAGCTATTTGTGAACCTAAGATTTTTCTTTGTTTCTGTTCACCATGTATCATATTAACCTTATGAACACATGATATTTAACTTTAAAATATATTTAAATTTCAGTACTTTCAGAAGTTATTAGAATCTGTGCTTGCACAAAAGAAATAATAAGTTAGCTGGTTTTGCTTAATGAACCCTTGGATTATTAATGGTGGTGACTGAGGTTAAAGGCTTACTATTTCATAGTAATTGAAACTTCTGTTTCAATATACATTTGATAAATAGTAGCCAAGAAAAAAGTTTTTATTGCACTATTCTAAATATGGACTAATTGTATGGTGTGACTAGACATAACTCTTAATAGTTCGAGTTATAATATCTTCCTCTTATTGCCAGCTCCTGATAATGATGACATTTTTCCAAAGGGATGAATATGTATCTCCAAAGGAACACACATACACACCTGTTTTTTAATTGGTTGGGGAAGAGGTGTTACCTAGTTCTAAATGTGCACTGGCTTTGTATAAAGGCTTTGATTTTCCATAACTGACCACTTGAGGAATATTTAAATTTCACAGACCAATGCCTGCATAGAATAAAATTTAAGTATGCAAGAGCCTTAAAGTGAAAAACATGATCTTTTTGACTGCCTTAAAATATGACTAGCTCTCCAGCACAGGCATCCCAGTTCCTTTCCATGGGGTCTGTTTGTTAAGTAATGCCTTAATAGTGTTAGTGTTTCTGAAGTACAGAACGCATGGGGTCTATTAGAGCTTCACTTTTATGTAATCAATAGGGCTTGAACTATTAAGATTTAAAACCTGGTTGTACATTAACAGGGTAATCTGGGACACTGATGTATAATGGGTACATGACCGTAAACATCAGTGATATATTGTGGTAGTTTGAGGGGTTTTTTATTGTTTTGTATAACAAATTATCTAAGAAGCTGGACTTTATGTAACATCTTCAAGGACCAAGTTGTATATTTAAACACTGAATGAAAAGTACAGTTATACAGTTCCAAAAATGGTTAATTTTTAAGGGTACTTTTTCAAGACAAAAATATTTTGTTTTGCACCTATAAGCAAATTTCATTCAAAAGAGTGAATGTAGTTGTAAAATACTGCACTGTTGCAATAAAAAGTATCCAGGCCAGTGATTTGTTTCATTACATTCACATTTTTACATTCACTTTGCCTTTCAAAGCAGGAATCTTATAAAACTGAAAGAAAACTAAATTGTTGAGCTGGTGCTTAGAATTATGATTTATAACAAGTGTAATTTTTAAGGAAAGGACCCAGAAGCAGGGGAGGTCCTAGGTCCGTTTGTTGAAGAACTCCTGATGCTTTGTTGAGTCTTCCAAGTTTTCAGTGTACATAAAATACCTAACAATGTAATTTTGCTGTTTTCTGATAGAAAATGGAAGAAATACTAATGTATTCAATATATTTTATGATATAACGGTTTTCACCCATACTGTGAAATCTTGATTTTCCTTTCTATCTTTGCAAAATACCACCCTGAAAAGACCGTCATAGATACGGAGTGCAGGCGGGGGCTGTGTGAACTGGTCAGTTGTATTACGTAGAAATGGATAGAAATACCAAATAAACTCTATGCAGTTCAAACAGTTGTCTTCTATTTCTTTAAAGAAATTAGAATTTTAAGGTCATAATACAGCTTATAAAATCTAAGGCTGTCAGTAATCTGTTAAACTGCAATAAGATGAAAATAAGGTTTTGATAACATTGGCCTTACAGTGCCTCTTTATATACTATTGTATGTGACCGTTTAAAATAGATATGGTTTAAAATAGATTTTGATTACGGGATCACATCTACTGGATTTAATCAAAATGTACATTCTTAAGACTTAAAAAAATTTTTTATGTGGACCTCGACCAGCAGTGTCCCTGGTGTTGTGCATGCCATGAACAAATTCACACGGACTGCAGCAGTCCTGTGGAGAAAAGGGACAGCATGGCCTCTCTGAGTGAGGGAGCACCCCGACCCTCTCATGGACAGGCTTTTACTGCTTTTCTGGGTACATTACATCCAGGATGGTCCTCATTTAGTATGCTCGGATTCACCTTAGGTGGTTACTTTTCCCAGATAATAAGGAAAAGAATGTTGCAAATGCAGGGGGAAAAGTGGCTAAACTGGTTACACTCTGTCCTAGGGAGGCTTAGCACAGACTTTAGGGAGTTTCCTCAAAGATACATAGTAAAAATTTGCTGCCTTAACTTAGGGTGAGGGAGTCAAGAAAAGCAAGCCTCAAAGCAAGCCTAGATACAATGCAGGGCTGGTCCCCCACAGGAAAGCCGATCTGTGGTCCTGGCTTCTGTGTGCCACCCCTCGCCTGTGGGTTGTCCAGACCAGGACTGAGCTACATTTGCCATTGCCACTCGGACCAGTTCCATATAGATTTGTGTGTTTGTGTGTGTGTGTGTGTGTAGTATAGAAATCTGCCCAGAGTTTCCTTTGGGAAAAGTTAACTAACGAAAGTCAACTATGCAAATAAAATTTTGTTTCAGTGCCAATTTACAGAAATTTCTTGTCTACCTCTGTTCCCATAAATGTTTCTAAAAAGTTCTAAAGATTGAAGATGGAAGTTAGGCACAAGGGTAAGGTCAAGCTACATAAGAATATACTCACCTAAACTTAAGAACATTTGGTTGATTTTCGAGTTCTCAATTTAAATATGACAATAGCTGTGTGGAGAAAAGACCACAAACTATACATTTCTTCATAGATTAAGGAAATTACTTAAAGTTTTTTTTAACAATACTAAAGCATGACTTTAAAAATGTTATTTTTAAAAAATAATATATAGTAGTTAGAACACAATAAAATCCAGATATATATAAAACGACACTTTTTCCCCACTTAACTTTTCAGCTTCTCAATTAGAGGTTTGGCAATGTAAGCGTAAACTGATTAGTGATAAAATAAGAGAACAAATGGCCCATTAAAAAAAATAATGGGCTCCAGTAAAGTTTATCTTTCAGATCTTAACGCTGAAAAGTAAAGAGGACTGGAAAACAGGTAACACTTAACTGGCCGCCATTCTCTTCTTTCTAGCCTAGGGTTCTGGAAAAGAAGGCAGAGTTGCTGCAACCCCGCACACCTGGTGACCTTAGACGCTGCGCCCTCATGGGGCCGGGTGGGAAGGTGTGGCGGGCTGGGGGGCTCCCTGAATCTGTCTGTGGTGATCCCAGTCCGCAGCGTGCTGGCACTTGAAGAGCGCCCCAGGTGGGACGAGGGACTGGAGCCTTATTATAAGGGATGCCAGTCCTTTGTAAGGGAGCAAGCCCACGCCCCGCCCTGGAAGCCACAGCCATCTGTAGAGTGGGAAGAGGGCCCCCGAGGCCTGTGAGACTGGGCCCCGTGTGCACCGCAGGACGGTGCGACCGCAGCCCAAAGCCCGCGCTGGCCGATACCCGAGGGCCGTCTCCCTCCGCGTGCACCGCGAGCTGTTTTTAGTAGCGCGTGAAGTCTCGCGTTGTCTGGCTGGGCCCTCCGGCCTCTGCGCCTGCGCTGGGCACGTTTCCCGCCATTTGGTCGTGTCGTTGTCCCTGCGGCAGCTGGTACGAGGCGCTCTTTCTGCCCAGTCACCCCTGTTTTGGCCGCTAATGGTCCCACAGAACAAGGGCAGGGACACTGGAGGGGTGCGTAGAGGAGCCGGAAAGTGCTTTTGTGTGAAATGGTGAGTGCGGGACCTCACTCGCATAACTTCTACCACGTTGTTGTAACTGTCGCCTTAGTATTGCTAGCCCCTTGCTGTGCCTTGTTTGTGACTCAAATGCTGTCACGGGAGGTGCGTGTGGTGGGGGGGACGGTGAGGCGGAGTGAGGGTTGGATAAGCCTGGTGGGCGTGGCGGGCGGGGCAGAAGGGGGGGAACACTGTGTGGTCACGTGACTCGTGGTCACGGCGGCCTCCGCGTGCCAGTGCCTCTGTCTGCCAGGCACCGCGCAGTGACCTGCCTCCCTTTCTCAGGACCTAAAATGGCATTGCCCGCCTTTACTGAAAAAAAAAAAAAAAAAAAAAAATGAACCTGGTCAAACCTCGGTTCTCGGATGCCTCCCGTCTCGAACCATCAGCTCTCAACCAAGCTGTTCAGAGAAACCACGTCTTGCTTGTCCAACAAAACGTGGGCTCTAGACCCGACCACCTGTCCTGCCCGCGCGGTGCCCTCAGCCCCCTGAGTGGTGCGGCCGTCAGACAAGCGTCTCCTCCACGGCCTTCCAGAACGAATGGGGTTCGGGAACCGAGATTCCGCCGTGGCTCCGAGGTTGCCACCCACCTGCTGGCCCCACGAGGTGCAGGTAGTGAACACCATGGTCTTGATCCAGCATTTGGGCCTCTGCGCCCAGTGCCCTTGTCACCGCCGTCAACTGAGGCCTCGGGGCTCTGCTGCAATCTCCGTAACTGGCCCGCACCGTCGGTTCCAGCGGGACTCCTGTCTGGGTCCTGGGGCTGGGCCTGCCAGCGGGATGTCACTCGGCCCCAGGAGGCTGCCACCCCTCCCCCCACCTCAGACACCTGGATGCCAGTCGACCCTCGACTCCAGTGACCGCCTCCTCGGATTTCATTAATTTGGTCCAGCAGCTCACATAACCCAGACACTAGATCTCCAGTTCATTATAAAGATGATGAACCCTGGAGCAGCCAGACGGGAGGGATGCACAGGGCAGCACCTGTGGAAAGGATCCCGAGCCCCCGCGCACGCGCGCTTTCCAGATTGGTATTTCTTATGATAAACCACAGTATCACACAAGGTCACAGACATTCTCTGCTCAGTAATAAGAGAGAGAACAGCACGGCAAGTTTACACCATTTCTCATGACATCACGCAAAATACCAAACACTCCATTCTTGGTTCTGTGGGGGCTAAAAGAATACACTTTTCCTGCTACCTTCTAAGTTCTTCTGGCTGGGCTAATTATCAAATTAACAGACAGTAACACTGAGAAAAATTAAAGTTTAACATATACGCGTGGGGAAATCACTCACTAGGCAGGAAAATTCCCATCAGCGAGGCAGCACTTGTTGGATTTCAGAAGTGAGAACAGGTAACTTAACAGGGAGTTGAAGAGCAGAGCTCAGAGGAGACTCCTTGCTCAGGGGCTCGGACAGTGGGATGCAGTGGCAGGGTATCCAGCTAACAGGCATGAGCCTGAAGCCCTCTCACCATACTGTCCCAGGCTAAGGCGACATCCTAAGATCTTCCCAAAGCAGGTTTCTCTGAACGTCTTGGGCAGGAAAGGGGAAAGTCAAAAGTTCCGAGTCTTTTTTATTTTCTTAATAAAGAGGTTAAAATCAGTATCCCAAAAGCGGCTTTGGGTGGCAAACTTTGGTTCCCTTTAGTTCCATTCCAGTGTTATATATAACTTACCACGTGAGAATGTAGTCCAAATTCTTGCTTTATCAAGGCCTTGGAGTGGCAGTTTAATAAATCCATGCAGGAGGCCCAAAAAGCCACCATCTGCAGGACTGAAGATAGTCTTCTGCAGGACTATCCCACAGACCACAAAGCAAAAAGGCACACCACTTCTCTTAAAGGCCATTTTCCTCCCTGAGAAGGTCTTCTCTTCCCAGAATCTAGTAACCTGCCCCTATGCCTCTAGAATCATCTAGGAAAATGCTCCTTAGGC